CCGACTGAGCCACCCAGGCACCCCTGAATTCTTGTGTATCCAGGTTCAAACACTTACTGCAGAGCTACCATATTTCTGGTACTGTGTTTGGTGTGTAGGATACAAAATGAATTGAAGCAAAATCCTAATTCTTAAGGTGCTCATAAACTGTGGTGGAAACATACATATTCATCTATTCATATGACAATAATTTCCCAAGTGGCTAGACATGGGAAGTGCAGAGATTATGAGGCAGTTAACCTCACATACTGATCATATACTTTTCTTTCTTGATCTTTTAGAGGTGATGTGGCAGATGTTTTAGAGGTAATGTAGCACAAGGGCATGGCTTCGAGTCTGCTCTGCTGCTTTTTTGTTGTGTGACCTTGGGGCAAGTTATTTAACCTTGCCCATGCTTGGTTTACTTTTCTATAAAATGAGGAAAATAGTAGCACTTCGTTTATGAGTTGTTTTGAGGGTTAAATGCCATGCATATATAAAAATGTTAGTGTCTTCTTTATAGTAAGTATAGTGGACAACTTTTAGCCATTACTATTACTACCATGGACCATTTGGAGACTACAGAAATGGGCATTGGGAATGGCTTTCTGGAGATGCCTTGTAATTTGGGTCCCCATGAATTAGAGATGGCTAGTCACTCACTAATCATTTCTTGAGTGTGATACAGCTAGAGGTGGAAGAACCCAGATGAGTGTGATTAAAGACATAACATTCCTCCTCCCCACCAATTGCTCATGGTGGGAGGTGGGCAGAAAAGCAAGCCTGCAGTTATATCACAGCATGACAAATGCTGTGGATGTGCCAGGGTGTTTGGGGACTTTGGAAGAGGGTTATCACCTAAATTAGGTGGGGTGGGCGCTGTTGGTGGGAGTGATGTATAAAAAAATTACTTTCCAGGGGCGCCTAGGTGGCTCAGTCGGTTAAGCGTCCGACTTTCGCTTAGGTCATGATCTCGCGGTTCATGGGTTCGAGCCCAGCGTCGGGCTCTGTGCTGACTGCCAGCTCAGAGCCTGGGGCCTGTTTCAGTCTGTGACTCCATCTCTCTCTGACCCTCCCCTGCTCATGCTGTCTCTCTCTCTCCTAGAAATAAATAAAAACATTAAAAAAAATTACTTTCCAGAGAGATGACATTGAGCTGTATCTCAAAAGGAACTGTATCTTGAGTGTGCTTGGGTGGCTTAGTCGGTTGAGTGTCTGACTTCAGCTCAGGTCATGATCTTGTGGTTTGTGAGTTTGAACCCCACACTGAGCTCTGTGCTGACAGTGCACAGAGCCTGGAGCCTGCTTCATATTCTGTGTCTCCCTCTCTCTCTGTTCCTCCCCTGCTTGTGCGCTCTCTCTCTCTCTCAAAATTAAATAAACATTAAAAATAAAGGGGGGGGCTGTCTACTCAGGTGGAGTAGAGGGAAGGACTTTCCAGATGATGGAAGGGCTTTTAAAAAGACAAAGTCAGAGCATTTTAGGGATTTCAAAATCCAGGTGAGTATGGGGTGTTTGGGAGGTGGGCAGGGGCCACCTCACATGACATCTTGAATGTCATGCCAAGAAATCAAAACATTATCCTGAGGGCTATAGGCACCCGGCAGCTTGATTTTAGGAAGATCATCCTGGTAGCAACATGGAGTGTGTACTGGAGTGGAGGATGACTTGGGCAGGAAATTGTCGCTGTTATTTTAGTAAAAAATGACATCAGTTGAAAACTAAAGTATTCGTTGGGGACAGAGAGGAGGGGACACTAGAGATTTAGAACAATTCACAGACAGATTCAAGGAGCGATCCTATGTGGCAATCAAGGAAGGGAGGGAGAAGCCTCCGGGGTCCCAGGATTTTTGACTCGGGCACCTGAGTGAATAGGGTCATTCCCCTAAATGGGAGCTACCTGGGAGGAAGTAAGGATGCTGAGGGATGAGGCTAATGAGCTTAAGTTTATAAACCTGGAAATTGAGACTGATGACCTGGTGGTAAAGCCAAAGGACAGTCTGGTAGGCAGTGGACGTGCAGGCTTGGAGCTCGGGAGAGAGACCTAGGTTGGAGATCTTGATTTCCTCCCACGTCGTTAGTATGTAAAGGGTAGCCCGATCTATAGTTTCAATGAAGTTATTCAGGGAAAATTTATAAAGTGAGATGAACAGAGGCCTGAAGATGCAACTCTGGAAACAGGTCAGGAAGAGAAAAAGGAATCTTCCTCCAAAGAGGTGGAGAAGAAACAGCTGGGAAAGCCGAGGAAAGAAAATAAGAGGAGGGAGCTAGGTAATGAGAGCCAGAGGAAGACAGTGTTATAGGGAAAAGTGAAGTACAAGGAGAGAAAAAGTAGTTTTTGTGGTTGGGAGACGCCTGCCCACTGTGGCGAGCCAGGGAAGTGGTGACTGGGGGAGATATTCGGGCAGAGAAAATAAGGAGTGCAAACTTGTGGGAACAGAGGAGTTACATACTGATAAGATTCTTTGGTTAAAAAATTATCTCCCATTGGAAGAGTAGGGAAAATTCGATTATGAGGCCAGTTGGCTTTCACTGGATGCCGGAGAAGCCATCGATGTGCTCCAAAATTGGGCTTTCTTCTGTAGGTAATAGGAAATGAATACATAGGCCAACTTAGGAGTATGTTTTTAATAAGTCATTTTTTTAAAGATTGCTTTTAAAGTTTATTTATTTTGAGAGAAAGAGTGAGTGCTCAAGTGGGAAAGGGGCAGAGAGAAAGGAGAGACAGAATCCTGAGCAAGCTCCTTGCCATTAGTGCTGAGCCAGACTGGGGGCTGCATCTCATGGACCTCAAACTGTGAGATCATGACCTGAGCGGAGACCAAGAGTCAGTTGCTTAACTGATTGAGCCACCCAGGTGCCCCAATAAGTCATTTTTAAAAACTGAGGTAGGAGCACCTGGGTGACTCAATCGGGTAAGCAACTGATTCTTGATCTCAGCTTAGGTCATTATCTCACGGTTTGTGAGTTCAAACTTCACATTGGGCTCCTCCCTGACAGTGCCCAGCCTGCTTGGGATTCTCTTTCTCTCCCTCTCGCTCTCTCTGTGTCTTCCCTGCTCTCACATGTGCTCCCTCCCTCCCTCCCCCCCTCTCTAAATAACTAAATAAACTTAAAAACAAACAAAACCCTGACGTAAAGCTTACATGCAGTGAAATGCATAGATCTTGGACATCCAATTCAAGGAGTTTTAACAAGTGTGAAACCTCATGTAACCAACTAATCAAGATAAAATACTTCCACCACCTTAGAAAATTCCCTTGTATCCTGTTTTAATCTCTAGTCCCTACAGGTGACTATCATTCTCATTTCTACCCAAAATTTTATTTTTGTCTATTCTTGAAATTTCATATACCTGGAATCATGCTGTATGTAAACTTTATTCTCTGGCTTCTTTTGTTCAACATGAGGTTTTTGAGATTTATGCATGCTGTTGCACGGATTAGTAATTTATTCTCTATTGCCGAATAGCATTATTATATGAGTAAGTCACACAGTTTGTTCATCTATTCCTCCATTGATGGACATTTAGGTTGTAATAAGGTTTGGGTTATAATGACTAATGTTGGCAAAAACATTCATGCACAAGCATTTTTCGTGGAGTATGTTTTCATTTATTTTAGGCAAATATCTAGGGGTGCAATTGCCTAGTCATAAAGGAGGTACATTTTAACTTCATTAGAAACAGCTTTCCAAAGCGATTGTACCATTTACACGCCCACCAGTAATGCAAGGGAGTTCCAGTTCCACATGCATGGCTCTTTCCAATCTTTAAAATTTTAGCCATCCTGATGGATGTGAAGTGGTATCTCTTTGATGGCTTCATTTTAATTTCTTTAGCAGCCAATATTGAGCACCTTTTCAGAGGTCTACATTTGCTTGTCTTCATTTGGTAAGTGTCTGCTCAAGAGTTTTGCTCATTTCTGTTTGATAAGCATAAGAAAACTGTATGTTGAGGGAAACTGATATTTACTGGCAGATATTATGTTGAAGGCAATTGATATTTACTGACACATTCTTAGTGGATTTACAACAGAACCATTGATGCATTCTATTAACGGAAAACTGAATGAGTCTGAAATACAGAAAAAAACCTTGCATCTTGGATGTCCAGTCCCTTTATATGATAGAAAATCAAAAATATAAAAATAATTTAAAATTATATACAAAACACTTTAAATAACTTTATACCTCATCAATTATGTTTAATACGACTCGAGCTATTTGAAGATGGAATTGTGTCTTCTCCGTTGACTACGGGAGAGAGCTTTAGGGTTAGAAGGCAAAGAAAACCCACGTGACGGATTCAGTTTGGCTGGGATGAAGCCAGGAGCCAGACCAGTAAGTTACAGAAGACCTAAGGTGAGGTCTTTTGTTTTCGGACGTCGCACGATACACAGAAAATACACAGATGGGCAATTTTTGAGATTGCTCGTCGGAGCACAAGCACCATGTGGAAACCTCTTCATGCTACAGTCAGCTTGGGGATTTACCTTAAACGCTGGGGTTGGATAGTTTTCTGCCCTGTTGCTTACAAATAACTATAGAACTTTTCAGGGTCTCTGAATCATTCTCAGTTTTCGTTTTTGTTTGTTTGTTTTGTGGGTGTCCGGAACCCATTTCAGATCCACTGTGGGTGGTGCCGACCTGGGCCTTTTTGAAAATAAGCTTTTAGGAGACTGTGAAGTACACCTTGGCCTACTTAAGGCCCACGGTCACAGGTAGGCCTGCTTGGTTTAGGGTCCTGGGGCAGGCCAATCTCCAATTAGGAATTGATGGAGTTGATGCACCGACTCCAACAGCGTTTAACCAGGGCTTTTTTTTTTCCTACTACAAAATAGTACGGGAGGGGCGAGGGGGATCGGGTTGCAGGCCGGGCTGCAGGAAGGAGCCCCGGAGCGCGCAGGGCCGGGCCTGGGCGGGCTGAGGGCTCGCTCCGGGCAGGCGTGCGCCGGGCCCGCCGCGCACGCGCACGCGCACGCACTCGCGCACGCCGGCCCCTCATTTAGGCGCCGGGTGTCGGCGGCGCGCGCGGAGGGCAGATGGAGTGGGTGCTCGCCGAAACGCTGCTGTCGCAGAGCCGGGACCCCCGGGTCCTGCTTGGGGCGCTGTGCCGCGAGGAGGCATCCGCGGAGCGCGTGGAGACGCTGTGCTTTCTGCTGCAGCGACTCGAAGACGAGGAGGCGCGCGGCGGCCGGGGCGCGGGCGCGCTCCCGGAGGCGGCGCGCGAGGTGGCCGCAGGGTACCTGGTGCCGCTGCTGCGGGGCCTGCGCGGGCGCCCCGCGGGCGCCTCGGACCCCGGCCCGCCGGCCCGCCACCGCCGGCGCGTGCTGAGGGCGGCGGGCGCCGCCTTGCGTTCGTGCGCCCGCCTCGCCGGGGGCCCGCAGCTGGCGGCCGCCCTGGCCGAGGAGGCGCTGCGCGACCTGCTCGCCGGGGGGCCGGGCGCCGAGGCGGCCGTGGAGGTGCTGGCGGCCGTCGGGCCCTGCCTGCGGCCCCGCGAGGACGGGCCGCTGCTCGAGCGGGTGGCGCGGGCGGCCCTCGCCCTGGCGCTGGCGGCCGACGGGGACGGCGGCGAGGCCAGGCCCGCGGAGGACGCGGCGGCGCTGGCGGCCGGGCGGCTGCTGCCGGCGCTGGGCCAGTGCGGCGGGGCGGCGCTGCGCGCCGTGTGGGACGGGCTGGGCGCGGCCGCGGCGCCCCCGGGCCCGGGCCGCGTGGGGCCGCAGCTGCGGGTGCTGAGCGCCCTGGCCGAGAGGCTGCTGCCGGAGCCCGGCGCCGACCGCGGCCCGCGCACGCGCGAAGAGGGCCCGGACGCGCGGCGCTGCTGGCGCTTCTGGAGGACCGTGCAGGCGGGGCTGGCCCAGGCCCCCGACGCCCTGACGCGCAAGCGGGCGCGCTACCTGCTGCAGAGGGCGGTGGAGGTGTCGGCTGAGCTGGGGGCCCGCTGCACCTGCGGCCCCCAGGAAGGAAACGGTACTTGCCTCTTTGCCCCCGGCCCAACCCCTTTCCGCTGGGGAGCCCCCCCCTTCCGAAAACCAGCTCTCCGCCCCCCCCTCCCCCCAAGCGCCTTCCCTCGACCTTAAAGCCAGGGGACCTTGGGAACCTCACCTCGAGGCTGTTCTCCAAGTGTCACAAATCGCTGCACCTGAGAACAGGCAGCATTTCCTAACCTTTCTGACCCCGAGCCGGGCGGGACCCTGCGTCCGTGCAAGAATGGGGAACGTGACTGAGCCCGTGCAGGATTTTACAGACCAAATTTGCCGGGTCTCGTGCTGGGTCCATCCTAATAGGAAGGGTTAGCTTCCATCAGATTGAAAGAGCAATTCTTTACCTGTCCTGAGCCATGCATTGAGGTTTGAGTGTTAGCGTTCTGTTCTGGAAATTGTCACATTCTTTGGAAATTTCTCTTGGCAGTTCTTTCTGGGAGTTCCTGAAATTTGTCAAATATATATGTATATATATAGTCCTTAAGTCGACCTTTTGAGGGTATTTTTGCTGCTGATCTTAAGTAATTTTTTAAAAATCATTTGAGCCTGTGCTTCCTACCAGAGGAGTTGAAATAATCAGGACTCCTTTCAATTTGGTACTTACTGTTAGTTGGTTTGTTCGCTGAAATGTGTGAACATGCCCTTCAGTCATCTTTTTGAGCTCTCCAAGACCGAAAATAGGTTCAAAATAGTCGCAGTGGATACAAAATTTCTGCTTTTTTAGCTATAGCTGCCTATTACTGGTAAAGGATTTCTGTTTGGTTGAAGTCGTGAGTTGATTTTCACGTTTGTCTAAAGCATTAGATAGGAAATATTTTGAGAGTCTGTGAATAGGTGATCATCTAATGAGAGTTTTCACTGGAGAAGACTTTTTAAGAAAATATTTTGAGTTTTGAGAGAGTGCAAGCAAGGGAGGGAGACAGGATCTGAAGCAGGATCCGAAGTCGGCTACTAGCTGACAATGAGCTCGATGTGGGACTCAAACTCATGAATGGTGAGATCATAACCTGAGCTGAAGTCAGATGCTCAACCAACTGAGCCACCCTGAGGCCCCTGGAGAAGACTTTAAAACTACCAAAATCAAAGTCATTTATTTTAAAGAGTCATTCTGCAGTTTTAAAGATAAGCAGTGGTTTTTCTGTGCCCTCCCACTTGTAGCACCCATTTCAGAAAGCAACTGCTTGTCCCTCTTTTAGTGGATTATTTTGGTACTTACCTCTGTGTCTTCCAGTAATCTGGATAAAATCAAAATCCACTGTCATAGTTACCCCTTGGTTAAATGTGAATTCTACATTCACAAAAGGATGACCAAAAATACTGTTCACAGGTGATCTGTGTAGTAAGCTACGATTATTTTTTTTTCCTTCTTGCAAGTTTCCCCTGGAATTATGCAATTTAAAAATTTGTTTGGTTCTATCACTAATTCAGCCTCAGATTTTCAGCTAGTTGTCTAAATTTTTCTTGTACAAAATTTCTCTGATTTTTCTCTTAGATTTCTTTAACAAGTTTTTAAAATGTTTATTCATTTTTTAAATTTATTTCTGAGAGAGAGAGAGAGAGAGAGACACCGAGTGAGCAGGGGAGGGTCAGAGAGAGAGGGAGACATAGAATCTGAAGCAGGCTCCAGGCTCTGAGCTGTCAGCACAGAGCCTGACACAGGGCTTGAACCCACGAACCGTGAGATCATGACCTGAGCTGAAACTGGATGCTCAACTAACTGAGCCACCCAGGCACCCCTAAATGTTTATTCATTTTGAGAGACACAGAGTGTGAGTGGAGGAGAGGCAGAGAAAGAGAGAGGGAGATACAGAAACCGAAGCAGGCTCCAGACTCTGAGCTGTCAGCACAGAGCCCGATATGGGGCTCGAACCCATGAACTGTGAGATCATGCTTTACTGACTGAGCCCTCCAGGCACCCCTTAGATTTCTTGATCATTTCTGTTAGATACCCGTAGAAGTTTCGACTGGTGCACAGCTGCTCTTCTTCGATCTGCCTTCGCCTGAGTCCTGTTTTGGAACTCTTCTCTCCTGGAGTTCTTATCTTCCCCTTTTTTGCTTTACTCACTTGTTTTGGTGTAGAGCATTTTCCAGAGATCAAAATTTTTAAGAGCACGTCTGATAAATCCGTCAAAGGATCCACTGTGTCTGATACGTTTTATTTCTCTTATTTCCATCTGACGCTTCGGTCCACTGAGAATCCCCATCTGTTCATATGTGCTCTCTGCCTTCTCCACTACATCCTTTAACATCTTTAACATACTCATCATAGTTCTGTATGTAGACAGGAGCTACTTCTTTTTTTTTTTAATTTTTTAATTTTTTCATTTATTTCTGAGAGAGAGATAGCGACAGCGTGAGCAGGGGAGGGTCAGAGAGAGAGGGAGACACAGAATCTGAAACAGGCTCCAGGCTCCGAGCTGGATGTAAGCACAGAGCCTGACGCAAGGCTTGAACCCATGAACTGTGAGATCATGACCTGAGCCAAAGTCGGACGCTCAACCGACTGAGCCACCCAGGCACCCCCACAGGGGGTACTTCTGAGTTTGGTTTTGGTTTTTGTTCGATCTCTTGGCAGTGGGGTCATTCTCTTCAGTAGAGACTGAAGTAAACATTTATACATTGAGGTGGGCGCCCTTCATCTGTTAGGCCGCTAGCGTTGGGGGCTGACTCATACTTGTTTATAGTGAAGCAGGATTTGGATCTGGTTGTCAGCTGTGGTTGTGGATTGTTGCTGCCTTATGTTTAGTGTGAAGCCTGGGGTTTTGTCAGTGTTGTTTTTCTGAAGCCCTGGATGCTGACACTACATTTGGGGTGCTGCCCTCAGGAAGGGGTCGAGCACTGGTGTTTGTTGCAAGGTTTGAGATGAGGGTGAAGGGGGGCTGGGACTTCTTGCTTCTGCTTCAAGCCTCTTCTTAGGTCCCGTGTGCCTGAACCTCAGGGTTCCTGCTTTCTTCGCTGTCTCTGCCCCCACTGCAGTGGCAAATAACCTCTGTCTCCTCCTTTTGTTTGACTGCCGAAGCTAGCCCACCCCTGCCTCCCACCTAGTGGAGGGTTTAGAGTTTCCTTACCCTGTCCTGTCGGGCTTCATTCTCCTTGTGTCTGTGGTGGGTCTTGGCTCCTGGTTTCTCGCCTTTCCCTCTCAGCGGTGGTGGCAGCAGACCTGCTTTACATCAGTGCAGGACTCTGGACATGAGAGGGTTTCCTCCCATCGGTGCAGGTTTTCTGCCCATCCCCAGGGCAGCCAACTTTTCCCTGGTATCAGGACTTGGGACAGGCATGGGGGTGTGGGAGGCTTTCCCCCAGGGCAAACAGCTGTGGCTGTGGTATGAGGAGGGTCCGGAGTGCAGACAAGATCGAGCAGTTGACCACCATCTTGTTCTCCCGTAGGGCTGGGCTGGGCTTCTCCAGTGAGTCTTGCTGCCCCTTCAAACCTAGGTGGGCCCTGCACGCTTGTGCTCGAGTCTCTTCCCTTTCCCACAGTCTTTCTCAGAACACGTGGAGGAGGCCTGAGGAATTGAGCTGGTGAGTCGTCGCGGATTCCCTTTGGGGTTCTCAAGGTTCTGGGCTGTTAAACTCGCCCACACCTGGCCTTGAAAACCTCATCAAACGTTCATTGTTTTTATTGTTTCTCTATTTTTAAAGTTTTATTATTTCTTTATTTTGAGAGATTCAGAGAGAGGGGAGAGAGAGAGAGAGAGAGAGAGAGAGAGAGAGAGAGAGAGAATCCCAAGCAGTCTCCGCGCTGTCAGCGCAGAGCCGGATGAGGGGCCCGATCCCATGAGCTGCAAGATCACGACCTGAGCTGAACTCAAGAGTTGGATGCTTAACTGACTGAGGTGCCCCTCGTCGTCATTGTCATTGTTGTTTGTTTAAACTGCTTTTTGGTGACCACCTCTTCCTGCACTTGGCCAGGGGTAGATGGATCTGGGTGCCCTGTCTGTTGTTGGAGAGGCTTGCTGCCCTTCCAAGTTCAGATCCCTTGGTTGCTTGGCAGCCGTAGGTTTTAGGAGTCTAGGATTTTGTGTATTGTCCAGCTTTTTCGCTTTGTTTAGTAGGGCAGGAATGTTCTTTGGCCTTCTATATCCCGAGCGGAAGCTGAGACCAAGCGTGTCTAAATGCCTTTGTTTTCCCATCACGTTTGATTTATGGTTTCACTGGCGGTAGAGTTGTAGGCTGGAAAACGTTTCCAGTCACGATTTTGAAGGCATCAATCTACTGTCTTAGAAGCTAGAGCTTTCGCTGTTGCTCTTGAGTAGCCTGATACCATCCTGAATCGTGTTTACTTATAAGTGCTGTGTTTCTGCTCCTTAGAAGTGGGGACTGTGCCCCCATCATTGTGAAATGTCACACTTGTGGCACGGGTCAGTTTTCATCCCTGTGTTGGGCACTTGGCTGACCTAGTCAATCTGGAAATCGTGTTCTGTGGTTCTGAGAACTTTTCCCGAATTACTTTATTTCCTTCTTTCCTTCTGTTTTTTAATAAACTTTTTTTTAAAAAATGTTTTATTTCTGAGAGAGAGACAGCGTGAACAGGGGAGGGTCAAAGAGAGAGGGAGACACAGAATCTGAAACAGGCTCCAGCACAGAGCCAGATACGGGGCTTCAACCCACAAACCGTGAGATCATGACCTGAGCTGAAGTCGGGCGCTTAACCGACTGAGCCTCCCAGGAGCTCCCTTACTTCCTTATTTACGTTCTCATGTTGGATATTGAAACTCCTGGACCAGTTATCAAAGCATCTTCTCTCCTGTTTTCTATGATTTTATCTCTTTGTTCTATTTCCTAGGTGACTCCTCAGCATTATTTCCAGTCCTTTCTCTGCGTTTCTTGTTGTTTACCAGCAAATTTTTATTCCCATGTGATCTTTCTTGTTCTTATAATGTACCCTTATTAATCGTATCCTGTTCTTATGACAGCATGAGATTTATCTTTTCCCCCTAGTTGTGTTTTCTCCAAATCTCCTCTGTCTGTCTTGGTCTTGATCGTTAATGTGCATGTTCCCCCAGACATCTGGTGATCCTTAGATACCTGTTGCTATTTAAGAGTAAGGAACCCCAACTCAGGTTTAAGTCTCTAAGCACATGAGCAGAGCCTGCATGGACTTCAGTGCAAGGTGACCTGACCAAGCCACAGTACTGGGTAATCTCCCATGACCAGTCTTCCCTCTCGGGCTGGCCAGAGTCCATGGAGACTCTTCAGTCTGCTGCCGCATAGCCAAGTCCTGGTGGGCGTTCTGGGACCCGAGGGGCTGGTGTGCTGCAAGGGGCAGGCAGAAGGGGATCTCCGCACCCAGGGTGCCTCCTTGGTCACTTAATTCCCAGCATATGGCCCTCACTCCTGACCTCAGCAGAGTCCAGTGCCTCTCCGTCCAGAGACCCACAGTTTTACCTTCTCCAGAGAATCAGTTCCAGGCTTTTTCCTGCTCAGACCATAGGAAGGGGCACCAAGGCTCCGTTGATCGAAGATACTGAACGAATCCTCTTTAGTTTACCCTTGATTTTTGCTTCTACTTACAGAGTTAACGTTTGCTGCCAGTTCCTTAGGTCTGGGGACATTTTTAAAGTATAAATCAGTTTTTTTCGTGGCTTTCCCCTTGCGCACTTACTATTCACTTTTTTTGAGTCTGCTTGGTTTTTCTCGGGTTTTTCAAACCAAGCTTCACTGCTCTTGTTTGCTCCCCTCTTGTCTCCATGCTTCTGGGCTTTTGCCTTTGAAGAATCTTCCACTGTTACAGTGAGGTTCTAAGGGAGAGAAAGGAGAGCTTATGACTCTTACCCAGAACTCCCAAACAGTAATCTTAATTAAAAGAAAAGAAAAAAAAAACTCCTTTTGAGATTCCTGTTAGCCTGAGCCTCCTACCTGGGCTTCAATACAGGGTACCCTGCATTATTCGAGAATACAGCATTTGGTAACCGTGGCGTGATTTTAAAAATGACCGTCATTAAGAAACTTAAGACATAGACAAAAGGAGGAACTAATTTTCCTTTTTAAACCACATCAGGCCCAAGTCTGTTTTGGTGGTCCGAGAAGAAAAAAGATGAACTTCTCAAGTTTTGGGAAAACTATATTCTAATCATGGAGACTCTAGAAGGAAATCAGGTAAGTGTTTTCATATTTTAACAAATCCGAGGTAGACGCAGTTTTCGTTTCTTTCAAATGCTTTTTGTAAAAGCAATGCAAAAAGACCAATTTGGATAAAGCATAATGGGATACAAGTGTCCTTTGTTCTCCAGCACAAATGCAACTTAGAACTAAATGTTAACTCAGGAAATTAAAGCCTTTTTTTTTTTAATTGACTTAAATTGTGACTCAGTGGGGCGCCTGGGTGGCTTAGTCGGTTAAGCGTCCAACTTTCGCTTAGGTCATGATCTCACGGTTCGTGGGTTCGAGCCCCGCGTCGGGCTCTGTGCTGACTGCCAGCTCAGAGCCTGGGGCCTGTTTCAGTCTGTGACTCCCTCTCTCTGACCATCCCCTGTTCACGCTGTCTCTCTCTCTCTCTCCTAGAAATAAATAAAACATTTAAAAAAAAAAAATTGTGACTCAGAGACGTTTAGCCTTATTTGTTCTTCCCTTGACATTTACTTCTAAAGTGTTAGTTTTTAGTTTCTCGGTGTTCTGAAAAATCTCCAAAGAAATACATACTTAGGAAAATGCTACTTAAGGTGATTCTGAGGTGAATTGTTGTTAAGTAAATAATTGTCCTTTAATGTTGTAGGCTGGCCTGCCTCCCTCCTTCCCGTCTTTCCTCCTTCCCTGCCTGCCTCCCTCCCTCCCTCTCTTCCTTCCTTCCTTCCTTCTTGCTTTAGTTCTTACATCTGTTTGTACCTAGTCATGCAAGTGGAAACTTGAAAAATTATTTTCAGTTCCTTTTGAATTTGTTTTTGTAGAATCATGAAATTTTTAAGGTGCGAAGAATCTCTCTGAAAGAGGAGAGAGTGTGCATGTGTGTGGGAGGGGCAGAGAGAGAGAGAGAGAGAGAGAGAGAGAGAATCCCAACCAGGCTCTGCACTGTCAGCATGGAGCCCCATGGGGCCTGATCCTGAGCTATGGGATCATGACCTGAGATGAGATCAAGAGTTGGATGCTCAACCAACTGAGCCACCCGGGCAGCACTCAGTTTCTAAATTTGGGGCATCTGGGGTGGCTCAGTTGGTTGAGAGTCCAGCTTCATTCAACTCAGGTCATGATCCCCCAGTGCGTGAGTCCAAGCCGCGCATCAGGCTCGCTTCTGTCAGTGTGGAGCTCACTTCAATTCCTCTGTCCCCCTCTCTCTCTGCTCCTCTCCTGTTTACGTGTATGCACTCACATGCTCTCGCTCTCTCAATCTCTCAAAAATAAATAAACATTAAAAAAAATTTCTAAATTCAAATAAACTTTATGGTTTTCCTAATTGGTAGATACATAAGACCCCTATAATTTCTTTAAAAACTGATTTACCTGCATTTACCTACAGTAGTGTAAGTAGTTGAACACTGAACTCTGAACTGGCTGTCCTTTTAAATGTGTGGCCTTGAACAACTTGAATGACTAGAGAGAATATTTTTTCCCTCTTTGTATTCTGTTGGTATCGCCAGCTCTGCCTGTATCTCAGCGCATGTGAGGATTACATGACACGATTTCTGATTCTCACTGTACAACTATGAAGTTACTGTTACTCTATCCTAGGCTGTATTCATTAGCTTTGCTGCACCCAGTCTCATGCACTGGAATTTATATGATTTAACAACTGGGAGAATCTGGCAGAATTCTGCATAGAATCTGCATAGTTTTTCTATGGGGAGAAAAAACCAGAAGTGCTACTGTTGTATAAAATGGATGGAAAGAAGTTTCATTTATTTTTTAAAGTTCACCTCAAGTTTTCAAAGGTGAATTTTTATTTCCTACAGTGTTTTGTTTTTGCTTCCAGATCCATGTTATAAAGCCAGTTTTACCGAAGCTCAACAGTCTGTTTGAATACGCCGTGGCCGAGGAAAACGGTAATGGTTGCTTTTGTTTTGATTTTTGTGACCTTTGTCGTTTCTTGTTTCCTCCTTGTTTGGATACGTATCTCTCATTTCAGAGAGTTTGGAAAACTTGTAAAAGTGTAAGGAAGATAATGTGAATCTGCCGCCACCAGAATGGCTGTTAACGTTCCAGATACATGCCTTCTGGATTGATTGACCATAACGTTTTGTCTCACTTAGCAGTACGTCCACATGCATTTACCTATATCCATTAATAGCCTTTGAGAACATAATTTTATTTTTTTGTTTTATTTTTTAATTTTTTAATGTTCGTTTATTTTTGAGAGAGAAACACACACACAGAGTGTGAGTGGGGGAGGGGCAGAGAGAGGGAGACAGAATCCAAAGCAGGTTCCAGACTCTGAGCTGTCAGCACAGAGCCCAAAGCGGGGCTTGAACTCACGAATGGTGAGATCAGACCTGAGCCGAAGTCGGACGCTTAACCAGCTGAGCCACTCCAGTGCCCCGAGAATAATGTAAAATGAACCTCCTTGCCCAGCTTCGGATAGTGATCAGCACATGGCCAACCTGTGCCTTATATCCTCTCTCAGCCTCTCCTCCTCCTGCCTCCCCACCAGGGACTACGAAGCCACCCCGAGGCAGCCACCCCGAGGCAGCGTATCATGTGGTCTGTAATTATTTCAGCATATATCCTTAAAAGATGAGAGCTGTTTTGATGTTGGTGTGGTGTACATTTTTAATAATAGCTCCTTGGGTATTATATATTTTCACTGCTCTCTGTTCGTATTCTCTAGATCTGTTTCATTGTTTGTTAGTTACTTTTCGGAGAGGTTCAGTTGTTATTCTGTCTCTTGAATCTTCTTCGGAAGATTCTAAGACAGAATTTGAAATCTGGTTTTTTAAGCCCTTCCTTGGTACTGTGTTTTGAGAACCTTTTAGGAGAAATAGAAGGAAGTGGAGCTTCCTAAAATTATTGTGATAGGAAGTTTGAATGAACAAAACCGCTAGATGCACGCTGACAGTATTCAGTATGCGTATGAATGATAAACTGCTACATTATCGTGTTTATCCGTGAGAATTAACCTAGGTAAATGGGTTTTAGTGCCTACTCTAGATAATTACAACTTTAATAGTTTGACCCCTTAGGAGTTGAGCTTCTATTCAGCCAAGCGCTGTAGTTGTTTTTGGAGACACTGGGATTTTTCACAGAGCGAAAGAATCTGTAGTCACCTGGGGCTAGAATTTAATTGAATCCTGTTGTGACTTCACTTAGGCATTTACTATTAAAATGATTCTCTTATTACCATGTTTTGCCCACAGCTCTTGGCAAGCCATATCAAATAGCAGTGACAGATTTTGAAAAATTACATTGTCAAGGCATTGAACAAGCATCTTGGCGTAAATTACAAATAATGGACCAATTTATTTCTAGAATGCCATGAGTTGAAAATGGTGAATTTTTTTCCTAGAAGAATTAAAGACTATTTCAAAAAGAGTTAGAAAAAGATCTCTAAGGTACCTATTCCTCTTTTGTGTGTTTTTCCCCCCTCACTCATTTATATACTTAACAGAAATTCACTTAGTGTCCAGTATATGCTAAGTGCTAGGAAAAAAGGCGGTGAGAGAGATATACTATTTTTCATTTACTTTTGTCACTTTTCCATGGAAAAAAAGTCTTACGATTAGTTTTGTGAAGGTACCAAATGAGGAACTGAAATGGGAGTGTATAGTGAGTGGGGCACGGAAGGCCTGAGAAAGGACATCTGAGTTCAGAGTTGAGGCGACACTGTGTTCAGAGGCCCTGAGATAGGAACAAAGAGCAGAGTGGCAGAGAGAGAGAGAATCTTAAACAGGCTTCATGCTCAGTGCAGAGCCTGCTGCGGGTCTCGATTGCACCAACCGAGAGATCATGACCTGAGTCAAAATCAAGAGCCGACTGAGTCACCCACGTGCCCCGTTAAGATTTTATTCCAAGTATGAGAAGCCGTTCCAGGGAGGAGTAACAGTTTCAGTAGTAGGTAGTTTGCTGAAGTAGGGTGACGGGGATTGTTCGAAAGGACCCCAAATCTAAAGTTCCAACCCTGTGCACCGGAGCAGTGGTAAAGTCTCCTGCAGTCTCTCTAAATGAAGCTATCTCACTATGGGACGCTGAACACTGAAGTCATTTTGGTCACTCCGCGAGCGCCCTTGGACATGATTTAAGAACTCGGTGTTGTAGTGTTAGAATGAAGCTAGTGTGTCTGTGTGTAAATGTGTTTATTTATGAATCTATAGTCTGTGTGGAACAGCATCACGTGACAATCAGCGGCCAACAGCATCAGGTGTTTATTTCCACAGGAAATTGGCTCTTTCACCCATCCTGGCACATGTGTATTTATAAAAGGATGTTTGAAAGCGAAAATAAAATCCTGACCAAAGAAGGTGTTATCCATTTTTTGGAGCTGTATGAGACAAAGGTTCTTCCATTTTCACCAGAATTTTCTGAGGTAATGACAGCCTCTTCCCTGCCTTGCTCCCTTTGTCAAGAGAGATTTGTTGCGTCGTACGTGATCTTCAAAAAATCTCTATGTTGGGGCTCTCTCAGAGCAAGGAACACTATAGATTTGCGTAATGATGCTGCTTCCACAGTTCGGAATCCCTGAATTGTCGTTAGCCATTGTATCATGCGGAGATTGCCTTTTGAGCTGTATTTATTACCGTCTATACTTCCCTTGATCAGAAATCACACCAAGCGGAGACTGAGAATTATAGCCGTGATTTAAATCTTCCAGTGCTGATGAGTCACCTGATCACTTGGCACCGTGATTTACCCCCTATTTAGGGACACCCTAGTAAACTTTCCTAATAGATGACATGCTATCATGTTTCGATATGTATCATTTTCCACATTCTCCTGTCCTTCCTGCACTTCCTAGACTCTTGCTTTTTTGACCCTATGTCAGGTAATATTTTTGAAAATACAATCCCCCCCACCCCATTTTATTTCCCAGGCATAGGAGCTTACATTTTCTCTTCGGTATCTTTTTTGTTTTTCCCTCTGTAACTCTGCTTATTTTCCACTGTATATTTCTTCTTGGGGCTTGTTTCTTCCTTCCTGGCCCTATATGCATGCTCTCCCTAAAAATTTTTATCATGTGGGAAAGTTCTGTATTTACTTTGTTGTGGCGATGGAATTGAGGGACCCTCCAGGGTTAGCACTGAATTAGCCTACAGGGTAAGAGATCAGCTTTGCTTAGACAAGCTCATCTGCATTCCTGTTGGGATATGCAGTTAGGGCAAAACCGATTTTTCAAAGTTGCAACTATATCTTAACATTGGTTACCTTTTTTTTTTTTTAGTTTATTATTGGACCATTAATGGATGCACTTTCAGAGAGCTCTCTATACAGCAGGTAAACAGGCATTATGTTAACGAGCAGCAACGTAGGAATCTGTACCTGATATATAAATTTAACATGTTTGTGAAATAAGACCAGGCTGTTTAATGCATTTAGTATATCATGCATGTTACTGAAGGGACATTAACCTTTTTCTTCTCATAAAGTCCCTCTCTGTGGTTCTTGCTCTTCTATTAGTTGTATCAAGTGTTCCTTCCATTTCTCTTAATTTCTTACCTTGAACCCTTCTACTCTTGAGCTTATGGAAAGTATATGTCACAAAGTTTATTTACTTTCTTCCCCTTGCTCTGATTTCTGCCCTTTCTGAAATTGTAGTGACTTTGGCTAACCAACACTCTACAGTTTTGTTTTTTTTTTTAACTTTTTATTTTGACTTCTGGAAAAGTTGTGAGACTAATACAGAGAATCTCCGTTTACCTTTTACCCTCACTCCCCAGGTGTTAATGCATCAGCACATTTGCTTGATCGTTCTCTCTCTCCCTGTGTGTGCACACTGTTTTCCCAGCTCTGTCTACTGAGCGGAGTTACCCATCTGTGTCCTAATCAGGGTCGGCCTGTCCGTCTGTCTGTCCATTTGCCTCTCCATCCATGTGAAAAACCAGGGGTTCGCAGCAGCACATCCCATTTCAGTCCAATACCATGGGGCTCACTGACCTTGCGGTTTCCAAATCTGACAGCGGCTGCCATTGTCCAGAGTATATCACTTCCTGCCCCCGCCCCCTTTGAAAAGTTAGACAGAAGTTTATCTTTATTGTGCCATAGCCTCATTTTCCTCAGCATTATCTGTACTCGAATCATACCTTCAGAATTTCCCCTTCCTTTTGAACTTCCATCATCTTTCCAACATCGATGAAGTAAATTTGTACTTGCAGGTCTTCTGTTTGGTGTACCTCTAAACAGAAAAAAAAAACAAAACAACAAACCCCACTGCCAGTCTCTTTAAAATGTTTAAGTTAGTTTGTGCTGTTATGTGAATGTTTAATCCTATTTAATAAATATTGAAAGACCATAGCCATAGCAATGCTGGATTTGCCAATTTTCAGATAACTCATTACTATCGAATAGTTCTGTGAAGCAATTAGACAGCTGGAGAGCAGTAAAACCTACTTGGTGCCTCTGAAGGAGCCGACAGACACATTTATTATGCAATGCCTTCAGTTTTAGCCCACTCTAATGTGTTCAATTAACAGATAATGTCCCCGGCGGAAGCACATAGCAGAAAAAAACTCTCACAACTTGAGTAGACGTGGACGATTCCGTGCTCTTGCAGAAGTAATTAATTAGTTGTATATGTTTTTCTGGGAACATTATTTATTTAATCCTTAAAGATTTAAAATTATTGGATCATGTGTTGGAAACAGTAAAGTCTGATTGAAATTGATCATTTTTAGACTTTTTAAAACAATGAATTTACCAAGATTCATATACACGTGTCAGGGAATGGATCACAAAAAGGAAATCCACAGCTACTTAGTATGTTAACGTTACTAACTCATGTCCATTTTCCTAGAAGACCCTGATGTTATTGTAATCAGAAGGATCTTTAAAATTTCACTGAAAAATAAACTGCAGGTTCAGAAAAAGATGTTTGTTGTTGAAAGACTTTTGAGCAATGGTTAATTTAGTTCTAGTTTACTTATTTATAAATTTTAAATATTTGGTTTTTTTCCCCTCATTTGTCTACAGGTCCCCAGGCCAGCTGATAGGAAGTGGTTCTCCATTGGGACTGAAATTACAGAAGTTTTTAGTCACTTATATTTCTCTTCTTCCAGAAGAAATAAAAAGTATGTGTTGGCAAAGAGTTTTTTTAATTTATTAGCTTTAAAACTTTAAAAAAAAGTTTTAGTATATTGGTGATAAGCACTATCCTATAACTATTATAATCAATATTATCAAAATAATTGCCTTTTTCCGGAATTTACCTGTTTTGTCAGACTTATAGGGGTGTTTATTGTAATTGAGTACATACTTTTGCCTTTATATATAACACATAATTACTAGTATTGGCATGAGTAACCTGGAAGTAATTAAAAAAATTTTTTTTAAAGTTTGTTTATATTTGAGAGAGAGACCGAGCACGAGCAGGGGAGGGGCAGAAAGAGGGGGAAACAATCCGAAGCAGGCTCCAGTCTCTGAGCTGTCAGCACAGAGCCTGACGTGGGGCCAAAACCCACAAACCGTGAGATGACTACCTGACCCAAAGTCGGACATTCAACTGACTGAGCCACCCAGGTGCCCCAACATAGATATAATTTTAGAATGTGTGCTGCAGTTGACTGTCTAGTTTTCTTTATTCACTTTCCAAAAATTAGTAAAATTGGTTGAAGAAAGAGAAGCTTGGGTTTAGGAAAAAGTTGTAAACAGAATATTCTTTGTGGCAAAACTGTCCCTCTATAGATACGAACTTAAAAGTTCAAAGAAAAATACAGTTGCTTTATGTAAGACCTTATATCTTAGAAATCTCCACTTCACACTGGGGACTTATCTTCCTTTCTGAGGAGTTAAATTGGTAAGCAGAGAACAAAACCAATGTTTTTTTGTTTACTGAGCCGAAAGACTTAACTCTACTTCCTGGGTCCTTTTTTCACTCCTAAAGTGGCTAATAAAAAGTGATCCTGGGTCTGAAATACATGCACATTGCCTTTTGTATTTCACCTACAAATAGAGCAAAATGGTGATCTGTTTAAAAGGGGGGGGGAAGGGAAAAGATGATCTGTAGATCTCAACTTCAGATCTATATAATGGATTATTTTGATTACTTTTGTAAAAAATCAGTTCCTGGAGAAGGTAGCTCTTAGGCGCTCTTTAGTTTGCCCAAAATCAGAAGTGGAAGCCGTATGGATATTACAGTGCTGCCCATGTTGGCACATCCCGTCAGCAGCGTGGAGCGTGGGGGTGGGGGGGCGTGGGTGGATGGGGGCCAGCACCCCCAGGATCTCAGTGCCTGCTGCCTGTGGCCCGGGCCAGCACACAGTGGACTGTAGGCGTGTGGAGCGAATGTGAAATGACATCGTGAGGAGTTAGGGAAAAGTGGGAACTTAAATAGTCTGACAGGAGAGGGCAAGTAAAGTGTTTACTCAGGTTTTACTTGGTCGTTTTTCAGTCAGCAGTTTCCGGTGAGTATCTTAAATGCGGCAAGTTTTGTGCCAATTACTTTGGAAGATCTAAATACATGATATTTTATAAATAACTAACATAAAATATTATTTTGTAAGTAAAACATGAAACACAAGTTCTTTTCAGGAGCTTCCAAGGATTTCTTAAAAGTCATTTTATAGGGCTGAGCAAAGGAAACATTTACACTAACTGCATGACTTGAGGGTCCTTAAGAAATCACGTATTAGCAGAGAAGGCAGGACAGCACACCTTATGTTTGTATCTCAAAATAGAAAAATAAGTAGTTATTAGATCCATTCTTTTTTTTTTTTTTAAAGATGTGAAATGTCTCTTTTTTTTTTTAAATTTTTTCTAACATTTATTATTTTTGAGAGACAGACTATGAGCAGGGGAAGGGCAGAGACGGAGGGAGACACAGAACCTGAAGCAGGCTCCAGGCTGTCAGCACAGATCCTGACATGGGGCTCAAACTCATGAACTGTGAGATCATGACCTGAGCCGAACAAAGTTGGATGCTCAACCGACTGAGCCACCCAGGTGCCCTGATTAGACCCATTCTTACCTTGTTTTTCTTTAACATCTCCAACAGAAGAATGGCTTGTAACGGTAAAAAATTGATCTTTTGCCTTGAGCTTTTTTTTTTTCCCCTATAGCTGCATATTATCAGAATCTTTACGATATAGTAGAATACTTCTAGGAATACAGTTGATATTTCATTGATTTTTTTTTTTTTCCCAATACGTTTGTTGAGCCAAAATTCACATACCATAAAACTCCTCCTTTTCAAGTGTTCAGTTTTTAACATTCACAAAGTTGTACAACCATTACCTCTAATTCTGGAATATTTTCATCACCCCCAGAAAGAAGCTCTATGCCCATCATCAGTCACTTTCCATTCTCCCATCCCCCCAGTTCCTGTCAGCTACTAATCTCCTTTCTCTACAGGCTTGCCGATTCTAGACGTTTCATATAAATGGAATCATGCAGTATGTGGCCTTTTATGTTATGTCTGGTTTCTTTTATTTGGCATAATGTTTTTAGATTAATCCATGATTGGGTCATTCAGTAATGATACATGTTTCAATGTTTCATTCTTTTTTGTGACTGAACAGTACCTTACTGTATAGATCTCTCACATTTATCTTTTTATCAGCTGGTAGACATCTGGATTGGTTCTACTCTTTTAAGTTAACTTATTTATTTTTGAGAGAGTGGGTGAACACAAGCAGGGCAGGAGCTGGGAGAGAGGGAGGAATAGAATCCCAAGCAGGCTCCGTGCTGTCAGCGCAGAGCTTGATGCAGGTCTTGAACTCATGAACCATGAGATCACAACCTGAGCCAAGATCAAGAGTCAGATGCTTAACCAACTAAGCCACAAGGTGTCCCGGTTCCACTTTTGAATATTATGAATGATTCTCCTGTGAATGTTCACCTACAAATTTTAGTATGAACATGTATGCCTTCAGTTCTCTTGAGTATATGCCTACGAGAGGAATTGTTGGCTCCTCTGGTAATTCTTGGTTTAACTTGGGGAGGAGCTACCTAAAACTGTTTTACACAGTGGCTGCACCATTTTGCATTCCCACCAGCGGTGTGGGGCGGGGTTCCAATTTCTCCGTATCCAAGTCAGCACTTGTTATTGTTTATCCTTCTGAGGATAACCCTGCTAGTGGGTGTGAAGTTCTGTCTCATCCTGGTTTTTGATGCATTTTCATACCTGACTCCTGATGTTGAGAAGCTTTCTGGGTGCCTATTGGAACAGTGATATGTTAAAACTTTTTCTTCCAGGCAGTTTCCTATTAAAGTTTATTCAGAAGATGTCAAGCAGACATTGGTGTGCCATTCCCATTTTGTTCCTGTCAAAGGCTTTGGCACATGTCCCGAGGTGTAAAGCCCTGGGTCTGGAAGGGCTTCTGGCTCTCAGGTACTTTACTCTGTGCTCGCATATGTTTGTATGTTCACATATGGTTATCTGCCATAACTTTCCATCAGTACATTTGGTTCTCCCCTCTGCTTTAATCTCTCGTGAGTGGTGTTGGTCTTGGGAGTTTTGAACTCTTAAATTTTATATTTAGTAAAAAAAAAAAAAAAATCTGTGTATAACATCGAACTTATTTTGTTTTATGAATTCCTGATGTAAGTATGTGTCAGGACACCCGTTATTGGAGTTTGATTCTGAAGCAAGGCCAGTAAGGTTTTCTTCAATTTCATTGATATGTAGGAAACTAGAACTAGAATATCAAACTGTAATATTGATTGCAGAGTATCTCAGAAAATGTAAAATTCTTAGTTTTAAAGTGTCTTCGTTTACAGTCTTTGAAAGAGGGATGTTTCATATTAAATCGAGCTCTAATAGAGACCTTAATGGAAAATGGTAGCTTCGAAGTTGTGCTGACCGTGACTTTCTGCAGTGGGGATCGTAGGTACTGTGACTCAGCTTGTCAGTATGTACAAGTTACCGGAATGGTCTTTGGAAAGATGGAAATGTGTGTGTGTGTTTCTTGATGTCAGGGATGTTCTTCAGTGCACTATGATCACCCATCAGATTCTGTTGAGAGGGGCGGCCCAGTGCTATCTTCTTCAGACAGCCATGAATTTGGTAGATGTGGTAAGTTTCTCTTCTTTATTCAGGACACTTCAATTTACAAGCCTGTCTCTGTGAGTAGGTGTGCCAGAGAGGGTCAACATAGCAGGCCTGCGATGTTTGTCATTAGAAAGCTCTGCTCATAAGGTCGGCCCGGCCCTTGCTGGGGGCTGGGAACTTGGATTTCAGGAGGTTCCCCCTTCCCTCACTGGTTAGAGTGATATACTGGCTCAGGTGTCTGCACACGCAGTGGTTTGTGCTCAACACCTGCTCTCCTTCTCGGAGTCTGGGGTTTCCGTAGGTGCTCCGCAGAGATGGCTGTGTGATCAGCGCCCTGGAGAAACCTGGGGCCTGAGTCTCTTCCGTGGGGGACAACCTTTCACATGTTGTTTCGGCTCGTTGGTAGAGGGATTAAACCTGTCTCTGGGGACTCCACTGGGGGAGGGGTTTTCTCTCTACCTGTTCTGCACATCTTCCTGTAAATCGATCTTCCAGGAATATAGAGTATCTTTGTTTTTACAGAGCCACACCACCATGATCGCCGAAAAAAGGGCGAGCCAACTTTTTCTGGGAAGGGCCAGAAAAAGTCCCATTTTTTAAGGCTTGTGTGTTTCTGTTACAACAACTTAAAAGCAGCCATAGACCGGTTATAAATAAAGTGACTCTGTGCCACTAAAACTTTATTTACAAAACAGCCGTGCGTAGTTTTGCTGACTCCTGGCCTAGAACAAGGTATCTTAGATGTTCAGCCTTAAGAGGATGAAAAGACTTAGGTGGTTTTCATACGGCAGGGCGTCACTTCATAAAGCAAGGGTTTGAAAAAGGCAGCATCACTTTTCGACTCAAGTAATTTGTTAGAGGATGTTTCTGTTTTGCTTTTAGACCGTGACCGTCTTGTCTTTAAGGGAGTAGCCTTGATTTTAAGGAAAACAGACGTATAAAATAATCTTTCATTTTATATAAAAATGTGATGCTTGTCAGTATTTTCATTTCTAAAGTTGAATATTTTCTTCTAAAAATGGCTTTCTTTTAATTTACTAATATTCTACTTTAAATAGTATGCCAACTTGCATTCACAGTGATTTCATTTTATTTGATTAAAAATTTTTTAGTGACTATTTTTTTTTATTAACTGCCCTGACACCTTCTCCCCCGGCCCCTGCCATCTTACAGGAGAAGGTGTCACTTTCTGATGTTTCAACTTTTCTCATGTGTCTGAGACCAGAGGAGTCCTTAGGACGAGGAACCTCATTGTGGACAGAGGTGAGATTGAAAATAATTTAATAATAAGGTCTTTGAAATGTGACAAAAAGTTTTTTCTGATTCACTACCTTAGTCACTTATGTAAAATATAGCGATGGCTTTGTGATCTACTAACAGAGGTTTTATTTTTCTTTTTAAATTCTTTTTAATGTTTATTTATTTTTGAGAGGGAGAGAGAGACAGGCAGCAGGGCAGGGTAGAGAGAGAGGGAGACGTAGAATCGGAAGCAGGCTCCAGGCTCCGAGCTGGCGGCACAGAGCCCGACGTGGGTGTGGCATTGGAACTCATGGACTGCGGGATCATGACCTGAGCTGAAGTTGAACGATTAACCGACCGAGCCACCCAGGCACCCCTACCAACAGAGCTTTTAAAACAATGTATATTAGCTCTGAGTGGACCTAACTAGTAGTGCTGCTAAGATCCTTATGGGGAGACAGGAGAATGTTAGGGATAGAGACAGACTTACTGAGAGGAGAAGGTAGTGCTCGTGGGCAGATCTCGATTCTGGACGAGATGTGTTAAGAGTCACGATAACGTGTTAGACTCAGAAACGGTAACACAGACCTCCTCCTTTGGTGGGTTTTTTTTTTTTTTTTTGGTCCATTAATGGCACTTCCATCTACCCATCTGCCCAAGTCGGACATTTTGGTAATTCCTGGTTCTTCCTGACTTTATGCATCGAACCTATCATGAAATCCTACATGCCTTCCCTTTTCTGCCACCCTTGATCTTGAGAAGACCCTCCACTAGTGCTGCCTCACCGCGACGGCCTCGGACGGCCTTGGGATGCCACTGTGGCCCTGGGGTGCCGCTCTTGTCCATGGGGTCTTCACTGCTCTGCTTCCTCCTCCTGGTGGGACTCCATCCACAGCTCTCACATCAGCTCTCCTCCATGGTATGGCTGGTGGAATTCTAATCTGTCCTCTGCAGGTTACATAGTTTTTGAGGTCAGGGAGCTTTTTCAAGAAACAATTCTGTTACTCCAGTGCGTAAGACATCACTGAGGGCAGGGATGTGATTATTTCTCTCGGAAGGCAAGTCTGCATGTGTACGCGTGGAAACAAGAGAAATCGGCTTGAACCATGTTAAAATAACTTCAGTGTGAAGTCATGAGGCCATAGAGTAGGGTAACAGAGGGAATGAGGGAGGAGGAGAAAATTGGGGCCTTTAAACAGTAGAATTTCATCATATTTTTCTTGATCACAGTGCATCTGATTAGTTGGAATCTGAAGAATACAAAAGCATATAAGGAAAATAAAAACTACCTGTAATGCCTACGACCAAATTAAATCCATAATTTTTGCCTTAATTATTGACTTTTTTCAGTGTATGTGTTCTCAGTCTTGCTTTCTCACTATACACACATATACTTAAAATGACATAGTGGGGCGCATGGGTGGTTCGGTCAGGTAAGCATATGATTCGATTTCAGTTCAAGTCTTGATTTCGGTGTTGTGAGTTCAAGCCCTCAGGTTGGGCTCCACGCTGGGCATGGAGCCTACTTAAAAATAAAAATAAGATAAAGTAAATACTAATATGTGTGATTTTTCTAAACAAAGTTACAGTGATACTTTTCTGAATTTTATCTTTCATTTTCACATACATCTGAGCATTTTAACATGTTGCTAAATAATCTTCCATCATGTGATGTTTAAAATTTCAGGCGATTAGGGGCACCTGGGTGGCTCAGTCAGTTAAGTGTCCGACTTTGGCTCAGGTCATGATTTCATGGTACATGGGTTCAAGCCCCACATCGGGCTCTGTGCTGACCGCTACCTCAGAGCCTGGAGCCTGTTTCGGATTCTGTGTCTCCCTCTCTCTCTGACCCTCCCCTGTTCATGCTATCTCTCTCTCTCTCTCTCTCTCTCTCAGAAATAAATAAAACATTAAGAAAATTTTTTTAAAAATTTCAGGTGATCAAATATTTTAGAATTTATTTAATCAGTTCCTTTTGTTGGGCTTTTGTGTCATATCCTATCATTTCATCTAGAAGTATGTGCTGCTAAAAGATAAAGACTTTAAAAGGGCCAAAATAGGGGTGCTGGTTGGCCCAGTTGGTTAAGCGTCTAACTTTGGCTTGGGTCATGATCTCCCAGTTCGTGGGTTCAAGCCCCTCGTTGGGCTCTGTGCTGACCGCTAGCTCAGAGCCTGGAGCCTGCTTCAGATTCTGTTTCCCTCTCCCTCTGTCCCTCTGTCCCTACCCAACTCACACTCTGTTTCTGTCTCTCAAAAATGAATAAGGCATAAAAAAAAAGGGGGGGGGGCTGAAATAGGCTCTTATCATACCTAAAAATGTTTGTGATAATTTCTTTTTTTTTTTTAATTTTTTTTTTTAATGTTTTTATTTATTTCTAGGAGAGAGAGAGAGACAGCATGAGCAGGGGAGGGTCAGAGAGAGAGAGGGAGTCACAGACTGAAACAGGCTCCAGGCTCTGAGCTGGCAGTCAGCACAGAGCCCGACGCGGGGCTCGAACCCACGAACAGCGAGATCATGACCTAAGCAAAAGTCGGACGCTTAACCGACTAAGCCACCCAGGCACCCCTGTTTGTGATAATTTCTTGATTTCGGATGTTTGGTGTTTGAAATTCTCCAGATGTCCAGTAACTGTGTTTGTTCATTGCTTTTTGTTTATTCAAATATACAACTTTGCTCAAGTATTCCCACGAAGCCTGTTCATTGCATTGATGTGTACAGTTTGTAAGTTGTGGTGAATCCATCTAGAATTTATCTTGGGATACAGTATGAACAGTGAGGTTCTGGTGAGAAAATGCGTGTGAAAACGTTTCCAACTATGCTTGATCCACACTAAGTGTAACACACTCAACCGTTTTTGGTTTTTGTCCTTTCCCTTTTGACCAGCCAGTTCGTCGTTATAATTGTCAGCTAGGAGCACCCCCCCCACCCCGACTTAGATTTCTTAATTTGTTCCACTTAACTTTCTCCATTCTCTTATTCATTAATATGTCTTCATCTTTTTCCTTCTTTTTAACTTTCTTTTGGTTTGTTTGCTTATCCCTTAATGTCTTCGTTTACTGAAGACTATTTTGTGCACGCTGCACATACCAGGCTCTGTGCTAAGTTTTTGGAATTCACGGTCAGCTGGATAAACGTGGCCACTGTCCTCATGCGGCTTACAGTCTGGTGGCTTATAGCTGAACCCAAATTTTAATTCTTTCTGTCTACAAATTGAAGCAAATATGTATATATGTACCAGAGCATACAGTTTTGGCTATAGCGCGTATGTGGTGGTGTCCTCGTTACAGTAAAACTCTCTACGTTGAGTCACATAAGATCGTTGATATTCAGTCACTTTTAATGTGTGGAAATGGCATTTTCTTATAGCTCAATCTAAGTAATTTCTTAAATCCTAGGGCAGTTTGAGATTCACAGAAAAATTGAACAGAAGGTGCAGAGAGGCCCCTACACCACCTCACCACTCCCCTCCTCCCTCTCTGTTATTACCATCCTGTATTAATGGGATACACTTGTTATAATTGATGAGCCAGTATTGACACATGATTATTAACTTATGCCCATAGTTTACATTGACGTTCACTCTTTGTATAGTTCATGGACTGACAAATGAGTAATGACATGTATTCACCATTTCCATATCATGCCAGTTAGTTCCACTGCCTCCTTGTCCCTTTCTTCTTTTGCTCCCCCCAAAGCCTGGGCAACCGCTGATGTTTTCTCTGCATCCATAGTTTTGACTTTTCCAGAATGTCCTATAACTGGAATCCTGGACTATGAAGCCTTTTCAGGTTAGCTTCTTTCACTACGAAATATGCACTTAAGGTTTTCCCATGGCTTTTCCTGGCATGGAAAATACTTCGAAGAAAATTCTTATTTTTTAGAAAAACTTATTTGATACTGATTGACCTCATATTTAAATCCATATGTTGGATGTATACAGTAAGAGATGTGCTATAAAAGGAAAACCGAGAACATAATTAGATTTAAAAACCATTCTCGATGCATGATCAGAGTTGATTTCTGTGACTTATAATTTTGCACGTCTTCCAAAAGATACAATGGGGAAGGACTAGTATTTCTCTTTTTAGTTAATATATTTCAAAAGGTACATGTGATAGAAAGTAGCCTTGTGAGGAAGGTGGGAACTTTAATTATTATAACTTCTACATTTCTACATTCTCTCAAACATACCCTTGTTTTTGTATATGAAGTTAGAATGAATTTTAATTTACGGTTGTAATTTGTTTTACATAATGTGTCCTTTTTCACAGAGATGTTCTTTAGAAGACCTTATGAAGATGTGTACTATATATTAGGTACTTTAAAAAATGTTCTTAAGTTTGTTTATTTTGAGAGAGAGAATGTGGGCATGCGTGTGTGCCTGTGAGCACAGGAGGTGGGAGAGAGGGAGAGGGAGAGAGCATCCCAAGCAGGCTCCGCACTGTCAGTGCAGAGCCCTATGTGAGGCTTGATCTTATGAGCCGTGAGATCATGACCTGAGCAAGATCAAGAGTTGGACAGTTAACCCACTGAGCCACCCAGATGCCACCGTTCCTTAAAAATTCTTGCCTGTGAATGAACTTTACACATTCTTTGAGGGAGGTTGAAATGCCCATACGTGTATATACACAGATACCTACATATATATATGTGTATATACACACACACACACACATTTTTTTTCTGCCTTCACTATCTGCAGAACTTCATCATGACTAAATGTTTTATTACTTTGTTGTGTTCAGTTATTTAAATTCAGTGTATTGTGGAAGAAAGAAAATTGGCTTAGGCAAATTAGAAACCCTTTGTTAGGTTTTTGAAATACAGTAATAACTATTTTCTTTTTCCTAGCTCTGTGATTGGTTGCGTGCTAATGAAAACTGTTTTAGGAAACCCTTAGCTTATAGTTCCGTTGGCCCACCTGAGACCTGGTCTCTGAATGCTTACGTGAAGAGCCTGGTTCAAGAGTATATTAAGTCACCTGCTTTGGAAAGTAAGTCTGAAATCATTTCTGTGGATTGGGATTACCAAATTGTTTACAAAGAAGTTTTAACTTGTTTTTCAGACCAAGATACATGCTTCACAAAATGTGTGCCGCTTTACTGACCTCAAACTCCTATTTTTAGCCAAATGTGAATAATGGAACGTAAAATATGTTTCCTACTTTATCTGTACTTTATCTGTACTTGATGTGTACTTTATCTGTTCTAGGACTTGAGATGTTAAACTATTTTTGTGTGTTTTAAGAAATTAGTTGCCAGAGTAAGAATAAGACAAACTTATTCTATAATTACTGAATATTTACAGGCTACATAATGCATATGTGTTTAGAGCCTCTGTAAGTGGAAATAGTTGTAGATAAATCTGTGTAGCTTTTATGTGTTTGTTTTCAAAGCATCACATGTAATATGAACTGATTATGAAAAGTAGCTTTAGAGAAAAATTATGTTTGAAAGGATGGTTTTGTTTCTTCTTTGTACCAGATACTTAGCCAATGTCAACTCCCACCTTCTTTGGAGAAATGTGTAAGACTACATGAAGGAAGAACTATTAGCAGATTCTTTAATTAGGATTCTTCTTACATTTCTAATGCTGCTGCTTCATTAAAGTCGTTAGGGATAATTTCGGTAAATTGCATCCTTGAATTTAACGTGTCTTAAATTTCCTAGTGTTGTTTCAGACCAAGTTGTGTTCGTGTACTGATTTCTCTGATCATGGAATAGGGTTAAATGATCAGACAATTATCCTTCTGAAATATGAGTTAATCTCTTTTTCCTTCTTAGAACATTTCTCTTTTGTGTTTTATTCTCTCTATATCTAGTAAATTTTCTGTTCTGTTACTTGGAGGATTCTTTTCTTAGGCCTATAAAAGTAAGAAAATGTTAGTTCCTTCTACAGTAAGCATATGTTAAACTCTGAAATGTCTGGAGAACTTGTTATATAAATCAGAGTATATAACAGTGTCAGATCCAATTAAATATTCAAAACCAGATGAAATGATATTTTTAGAATTTCTTCTTTAATATATCTAGAACTTAAAATATACTATTTAATATAATACGCTATTTTAAGTTTTTAAAAATCTTAAAACTTGATTTCAAGTGCAAAGGAGCCATTTGCATTTATTTTAATATTTTTGTTTGGTTTTTAATGCCCTTGCCTAAGTGCCTTTATAAAGTTTAATTGGCAGTTACTGGGCATTTCTCAGACCAAGTGAATAAATTCCAAAGCGAACAATATTTAGCTTGAGTTTCTGAACGTAAGATACATATAATATTCAAATTCATTTTTACATAAAGACTCATTGGACAAAACACTATTTTCAATCAGATTCTACATCTAAAGTCTTTGGCTTTGAGTGTATAGTTAGTACAGATAGATTTTATACTGTTGATTCAGCAAGCATATATCCCGTGTTTTCTAAGTGCCAGGCATTGGAGTTGCAGAGATAAAAGTTGTATCCCTTACCTTCAGAGGGAGCATCCTCTAACAAGGAAGTTGGTAAGCAGATAACCTTAGCCCGGTGCCTTGAGAACCGTAAGCACTGGGGATGGGGAGTCTGTGTAAGCAGTTGTCTATTTAGAACAGGTAGACGAGCAGAGGTAGAAGGATATAACCAGGTGGGTGATGTCTGATGAGTGAATAGAAATTAAGGTGAAAAGAGGGAAGGATCCTCCCACAAGGCTTGGATGAGCTTGTGTCCAGGGAGCTGAAAGTAGGTAGGCATCTGTCCATCTGTGTATTTACGTATCTATGGATCTATCATGTCTGCTTATGGCATGGAGCTCAAGGAGTGGTAAGAGGGAAGGATGGATATGAGGTACACACGCACACGCCGTGTTGTACACACAGTACCTAAGACGATAGGACAAACAGCGACAGAAACCACACAAAACCAGCATCACCTATAAACCAACAAAAATGTTAAAGAACTTTCAGAAATTACAGAAAGTACAACAGTTTGGAAATAGCACTAATGACTTAGCAGAACTTGGACGTACCAAGATTAACCAGAATGTGAAATACATGTGAAGAAATTGATACTGAAATCAAGTGGTCGGTCCCTGAGAAAGGTATTTCCTATGAAGATTTTGAGATTAAATGATGTACCTACTTAAAACTTAACTAAGAAACATAGAGCTATGGAATAGCCCCAAAGTAGTATGTTGCAGCTGTACAGAAAGTTATAAAAACAACTTTGAGGTATCATTGACTTATGCTAAACTGCACACATTTAAGCTGTACAGGATGATGGGTTTCGACCCACATATCTGTGAAAGCACGGGCCTAGCAAGGTGTAGCGAACAAACTGCCACGCCCAAAAGTGTCTTCACACCTCTTTATAATCCGTACCTCCCGTTTCTACCTCTTTTTCCTCCCAGCGCGACAAGCCGTGATGTGCTCCCAAGACACTGGAATAGTTTGCATTTTCTAGAATTGCCCCCCGTTTTTAAAATTCATGGTGGCAAGATGTGACTGGAGATTCAGGGCTAAGTTGCATTAAGGTGATTGATAACAGCGAGCCATTCTTTGGTTTCCTTAAGATCACTGTTGCCTCCACGTTTCTAGCTCCAGTGAGAGAAAATGGAGCATAAATAGGAATTCTCTGCCAGTTTGCAGAGTATGGTTTTCAGACCAGCAACGCCAACCTCATCTGGAAACTGTTTGGAAATACAAATTCTCCAGCTCTATCCCAAACCTATTGAATCAAACCCTGGGTAGGGGCTCACCCTCTGTATTAACAAAGTCTCTGGGTATTTAGAAGTTTGAGACCCACTACCCTGAAGCATGGATTTGTTTAGTATGGTGGGTGGCAAAGTACTCAGGAAGCAGTGTGCAGCAAAAATCCCTGCAAGGGTGTGCCTTCTTCTGGAGGAGTAAGGCACCCAGTTATTGCTGGCCTCATACTGGGCATTCCTTGACAACAGAAATGATTAAAAATCCACTACACTTCTGATTTACAGCCTTCCCCTTCAGTATCCAAGGTGAAAACTTGCTTAAGATTTCAGACAGGATCTGTGCTTCTAGAACTCTGTTCTTGGTTTTGCTGGAGGAAGTGAGAACGTCAAGTCAGCCACTTTGAGGACCCAGCATGTGCTATTGATATGGAAACATAGAGTATTTACATCCAAAGGCTTCCTGCTCACACGCTGTGTAAGTGGAGAAGACACTAAGGGCCACTAGAAGCCTCACCCCACTCCCATCTCCTGTGAGGTCAAGGGTATCTGATTACATGATTGCTCTGGAAAATAGAAGGAACTAAAAAAAAAAAAAGGGACCTGAAGAATGTATTGGTATTTGATTTCATTTTGGCCTGTGTTTATAAATGAATTTTCAGTGTAAATGTGGGATGTAAAGCATTAACGGGAGGAAAAATGTTCCAGAGAAGAAGTTTGAATAACTCCTCTTTGTACTTACAAATGCGACTTACAGAATCTTTCTAGATAGCACCAACATTGGAATTTTTTTAATAAATATGAGTGGATTTTTTATTGATGGCAACTAAGTGCCCTTTATAAGATTTTTAAAAATATATGCCAGAGTTGATCCTTCTGTTGTAAGGATATTTTTTTTAAATCCCTTTTTTAACTGAGTTCTACATGCAAGTATGTTTTTACTGTTGTTCATCTTCTGTACTACTCCAATAAATTTGTATCAAAATAAATTATCCCCAAAATATATTAGAGTGTTTAAGAAAATGGTTTAAGTATTTAAACTCCTGGGCTGGAAAACTAGATCTGTTCCCAAAAATTTTCTTGAGAAATGAGGTGAAAAGTGTGATCTCACTATACTAATATATCACAAATAAAGAAGTAGTCTTCTCTTCGTGCCTTATTTTAACTTAACTGGCTTTCAAAGGTGGGAAGATGACCTAAACTTTTTATTTACTTATCTATCTACCTGCCTACCTATTTATTTATTAGCGTAGTTGACATACAATGTTACGTTAGTTTCAGCATAGACCTAAGCTTTCTGAGAGGACAAGCAGTTATTCCAAAGTCCCACAGCTGATGAGCACAGGACTGGGGTTCAGACGCAGGTCTGAGGCTCCATACAGAGCCTTTGTGTCCATACCTATTTCATCCTCCTCCTGGTTACATTTTAGGGAATTTTCTTCTCTCAACTGAAATACTAGAATTGTCTCTTAACCTGTCCCCTGAATCTCCTCTTGCTTCCCCTACAATCTCTCCCACATTGTGCCTGGAGAAATCTGTTTAACTACTAATTTGAATCTACAGATGGTTCCTCTCTTTCTTTATATGCCTTCACTTTAACCTCCAGTGGCTTCCCCTTGCCTTTAGGGTCAAGGCAGGAATTCTTTGCATGGCCTGCTCAGTCTTCCGGTCTCTTCCCTGGCTGTTTCTGCAACCTCATCTTTGGCGCCCCTACCGCTTGTGTGTCCCTGCTGCGTGGGCGCCCTTCCATCTCCTGGGGCGCAGCAGGCTCTGTCCTCCAGAGGACTCCTGATGTGCTCCTCCTTCCTTGGGAAGCCCTTGCATCCCTTTTTCCCAGCCTTTATGCTCAGCCCATTCATTCTTCAGGGGACTTTCTCTTTACTCCTCAGACAGATGAGGGCATAGCCTCCTAGCGTGCACTTCCCTCATGCCATTTTATACCACTCACTGCAGTTGGTGTTTTACATTGCTTTGTATGTTCTTTGATGAATGTTTTTCTTGTCTGCTGCAACATAAATTCCATTAGCAGAGGAGCCATTGTGTCTTCAGCACCTAGGTCAGCTCCTGTATCTGCCTGTGGCATAAGGTTTGTTTATTTTTGAGAGAGAGAGAGCAGAGGAAGGGCAGAGAGAGAGGGAGACACCGAATCTGAAGCAGGCTGCAGGTCCTAAGCTGTCAGCACAGAGCCAGATGCAGGGCTCAAACTCAAAAACTGAGATCATGACCTGAGCTGAAGTGGGACATTTAGCTGACTGAGCCACCCGGGCGCCCCTGTTTTGTTTGTATTTAAATGCACGTAACAATGAGCTATACTGTAAGGTGGTGTCCTGCATTTCATCTCCGCTCTTATAATTTGATATTGATCAGGCTTAATTATTTGGCTGTTTTATTTTGAAACCTCATCTTTGATGGATTTTGTTAATGTTTTGCAAACTTTGACTCTTGTTATTCAAGCAGGAGAAAACTGCTTTATGCCTGACTGGTTTGAAGCCAAGCTTGTTGCAATGATGGTATTGCTGGCTGCAGATGTGGAAGGAATGAAGTCTCAATATAGGTAAGTGTTTCCAAGCTTTAAAAAAAAAAATGCTAATCAGATCTATGGTACCTGTTCAGGCTTTTCCATGATTATTGGTATGGAGTTAATCACAGGGTATTAAAGGAAGAAACTAGAGCATTGTCAGTACGCTAAAGAAATACCTTAAATTAACAGTAAATGAATATGAATAGGGCTTTTATTAGTCTTTTGAGGTTCATAAGTTCAGTTGTTTGAGAAGGCCAAAAACATTATATACAGTAATTACTGGTTTTATATAAGAATATTAGAAGACCAGGCTATAAGATTCTTGCATAAGATTGGGTAAAGAAATTTACTGGGTTTGACCCCTTTGTAAAAAGTGTAATTTTTGTTAATGTAATAAAGATAAAGCTATTTCATTCAGACTTTGAAAATGTGCGCACATCAGTTCTCAGCAGATTATGATTGTAGCAAAAAGCAGTTTCCATTTGCTAGTGCATTTGCATGACATGCAGTTAATTCGATTAACATCAAATCTCTTTTCTAGACAAAGCTTTAATACTAAAGTTGGTTACGATGGGTTTTTTTTTAATAGTTTCTTAATTTTTTGTATTTTTTTTGTTAACGTCTCATTTCCTTGACTAGCATATGTTTGTTTTGTTTTTAAATTATTGTAGCAGGGTCTCAGCATTTTAATTTACAGATAAATTGGTATAGCATTTCCTTCATACTTGTGCCGAAAGTTGAGTGCAGTACATTCTTCCCTGTGCTTTCTTTGCGAGTGCAACATCGTACTCTGAGAAAGCACAGACTGGAGAGGTCAGCGAAGAGGCCAGAGGGAAAGGTCAGTCCTAACAGGTACTAGGTGTCTGAGTCATCCATTAGACTAATTCTGTCTAACTGAATCTATTAGCTAGCCAGTTCCACAAGTTGTAGATGGAAATGAATTTCTTCATGGTTTTGAAATGCTTGATTTGGGCATGTCTTTTAATATCTAGTGAAAAGCGGAGAACACAGAATGTATTAAGGATATTCTTAGATCCTCTTCTGGAATCCCTTATGAAGTTTGGTACAAATGCCTACATGCCCTTGCTGAAAACTGACAGATGCCTGCAGTTGCTGGTGAAGTTATTGCACACTTGCATGTTGAAAGGTTCCAGTTCCCAAGATGGTGAGGACAAATAGTTTCTGTTGGTGTCTTGCTTGGTATATTGTTGGTGTTTGGAATGAGAGGACATTCCTGGCCCTTTGAAATAAAAGGGTTGCTTCATGCATATAGCAGATATCGACTGAGTATTTCCCGGTGATGCCGGTATCCAGCAGTGAAGAGGCAGGGCCCCTGCGCTCATGGAGCTGACGACAGAGCCTTTACGCGTGCTGGTTACTGTTGCTGTTACAAGGTCATCTTCTTTGCTTGTCTTTTTTTTTTTCCCCATTTATGCTCACTCATTGATTTCCAGACCGTGAAAATGATCCCTATTCCATACACGTTTCAGCAAGATCCCTTTCTAACGGCCACTATGCTAGATGTTGCAGAAATTAAAGCACAAGAATGGCAGTCATTTTATAATGACTTGTTTTTAAATGCATTGGTCTCTAAGTACCTTTTTTTTTAAATCTTTATTTATTTTTGAAAGAGAGAAAGCATGAACGGGAGGGGCAGAGAGAGAGGGAGACACAGAATCTGAAGCAGGCTCCAGGCTCTGGGCTGTCAGCACAGAGCCCCACGTGGGGCTTGAATCCAGGAACCATGAGATCATGACCTGAGCTAAAGTCCGATGCTTAACTGACTGAGCCACCTAGGCGTCCCTCTAAAGTACCTTTTAAGTAGAAAATACTTCATACAGAAAGTATAGTGGTAGTGGAAGCATCGAGTTCTTCTCTCCTTAAACAAAGATACATGTAAAACAGTATCTGAAAACCCACGGACACTAGAGACAAGAATATTTATGGATGTGCCTTGATTCCCAATCTGTTCTCGCCAGTTTCACTTGGCATTTTAGGAATTGCTGTGTGAAAATCTGAAAGAAGCATTGGTGTGAGTCTAAGCCTGAGGATAACAGTGACAGGATTCAATTTTAATGCATACTTGTGAACTTTTAAAGCCAGTTTCCAAATTCTGATATTTTTGATACCGGCAGCAGAACCAAATGCTGTACACATCTCACAGGAACTTTTTACAAGATTTTCAGCTCGGGAAGGGCATAAATTTGGGTTCATTTGACACGTCTCGACTGTTTTTACTAAGCTTAGTGCTTTCAAGTGCAGGGCTGGGTCAAGGCGCCATTTGGAAAATTGTGATATTTGACACACGCACGAGTGTGTGACATTATATGTAAGTTACGAAGCCCAATAATCAGACATCCGTGAACTTATTACCCAACCTGAGAATGAGTTTACTTGTTACTCCCCAGTCCCCTCCTTTGCCTCCTTATTTTGACTTTATCTTTGTCTTTATCACTTCCAAGTGCTTTAAAAAATGGTTTGACTTTGTCTATAGATACTCCTCAGCAATGTACTGTCCAGTTTCCCTGCTTTTGAGCTCTACAGGAAATGTCGCTTCACTGTTGGAAGGCTTCTGTAACTTTTCCCACTTCATGTGTTTCTAAGCTTCAGCCACGTCCTTTGTTAGACTTCATTATTTTCCCTTTTGTGTCATCTGTCATCCGATGACACTGCTATTTATGCATTTTCTTAGTGCTAGACGTTGGAGGGTAGTTAATTACAGTCACGTGTGTGCTGCCACCAACACGTGTCTGCATGTCGTCTGGGCCTGTGTGTGAGTCCCTCCAGCGTGTGTACTGGTTCCTAGGGTACATGCACACTCAGCTTTATAAGATCACGGGAAGTGCCTTTCTTTCAATTTTGTATCCCGAAATGTGTACCTGCTTCATATTCTTTCCCGCAGAATGTCAGTGTTCTGTTATACCCCAGGCATCTCTTTATGTCACCCAGTAGAAGCCCAGGAAATACCTATCTAATTTTGATAGCTGTTGGCTTCCATGTGATTGGCAAACCATATCAAGCTTAATTAACTGTAAATAGATCTTAATCCTGAAAGATTTCTTTTATGAAGGAAGAGGAAAATAGAAAATAGTTATTTCCATTTTATAAATGAGGAGACAGTCTGGGAATTAATTACCAGTACTAGGGGCAGTGAAGAAATAAGGGTAAAGTCAGATACCTAGGTAGACTTACTGTGGGCAGGTGAGATTGAGGCTTGGCAGTATGCTGTTTGGGGCAACTTTGACTTACTGTGTTTAAAATTATTTACTTAAAGTTTACTTATTTTTGAGAGAGAAAGAGAGGGTAGTGCAATGGAAGAGAGCAGAGAGGGAGAGAGAATCCCAAGTAGGCTCCTCGATGTCAGTGGAGAGCCCGATGTGGACTTGATCCCACAATCCTGGGATCATGACCTGAGCCATAATCAAGAATCTGACTCAACTGACTGAGCACTGAAGCACCCTTTGTTTAAAATTATTTAAATTTGGGGCCCATGGGTGGCTCATTCAGTTAAGTATCAAGTGGGAGCAGGTGGAAGAGGGGCAGAGAAAGAAGGAGACAATCCCAAGCAGGCTCCATGCTATCAGCACAGAGCCTGACATGGGGCTCCAACTCAAAAACCTGAGATCATGACCTGAGCCGAAATCCAAGAGTTGGATACTTAACCAGCTGAGCCACCCAGGCACCCTTATTGATTTTTTTTTTTCCAATTTCTTTTCTGTTTTTTTGTTTGTTTGCTTCTGTGTGCTTGTTTTTGGTTTGTTTCACCTATTTAACAAAGTTAAGATGGACATTTAGGTTATTGATTTTAGATCTTTTTGAAAATGACCTCTAATGCTATAATCTTTTTTTTAAGTTTTGCTTTAACTACATTCCCAAAACTTTCGGTGTGTTGTATTTCAGTGCAAAGTATTTTCTAACTTTTCTTGAAACTCTCTTTTATTTGTGAATCACTGAGAAATGTGTTCGGAGATTTTCTTATTATCTTTCTGTTGTTTTTACTCTAGTCAGAGAGAATACTTTGTATGCTTTCAGTTTTAACGACTTCATTAAGGTTTGTTTTATGATCTAGAATATGGTCTGTCTTGGCTACTGTTCCATATGCACCTGGAAAGAATATGTATCCTGCTGTTGTTGGGTGGAGTGTCCTATAAATGTCAGATCCAAGACTTTTGTGGTGCATTTCAGGTTGATATACTTGATGTATCTGTTTCCTCTGTTACTGAGAGGAGAGTGCTGGAGTCTCCAGGTCTGAATTTGAATTTGTCTCTTTTCTAGTTCTGTTGGTTTAGCTTCCTGTATTTTGCAGTTCTGTTGTTAGGTGCGTATGTGTTTATGTGTAGGGTAGTGTTTTCCTGGTAAGTTGACTCTTTTCTCAGTATGTATTGTCCCTTTTTATCCCTGGTTATTTCCTCTACTCTCAAATCTAGTTTGCCTGGTAGTAATATAACCATTCCTACTTCCTCTTCTGATTAGAATTTGCATATTATTATTCCCTGGCTCTTTTACCTTTATTCTATTTGGATCATTTATTTGAAGTGAATTTCTTACAGACAGAATATGTCATGATTTTTTATCCATTCTGACACTGTCTTTTAATTGGCATAGATTATTCACATTTAATAGGATTACATATATGTTTGGGTTTAGGTCTGTCATTTTATTTTTTGCATTCTGTTTATTTCCTGTTTTTCATTTCTGTCCTTCTTTGGCTTGTTTTGGGCAGTTTGAACATTACTTCATATTCCATTTTAATTTATTCATTGTGTTTTTTACTAAATGTCTAAAGCATTGTGTGTGTGTTTGTGTGTGATTGCTCTAGGGATTACAGTGTACATACCTAACAGTCTGTTGAGAATTAATGTTCTACCACTTGAAATTAATATAGAAACTTTGCCACCTATGGACTCCTTTGCCCTCCCCCCATGTATTATGGTTGTCTTATGTCTGCATTTACTGAAAACTACCAGACAATGTTTGAATTTTTTGCTTTCACCCATCAAAGAGATTTTTAAAATGTCAAGAGAAGTACCTATTGTATTTACCTAGATGTTTGTGGTTTCTTTTGCTTTTCTTTCATCCCTGATGCCCCATGTTTTCCTGGGGCATCGTATACTTTGTGTTTAAAAAAACAGCTTTTAGCATTTCTTTTGGAACAGTTTTTCTGGCAGTGAATTCTTAGTTTTCCTTCATCTGAGAATGTCTTTATTTCGCCTCTTGAGAAATATTTTGCTGGATATAAAATTCTGGTTTGATGGGTCTTTTCTTTCAGCAATTTAAAAATACTCCATTTGCTTGGGGCGCCTGGGTGGCTTAGTCGGTTAAGCGTCCGACTTTCGCTTAGGTCATGATCTCGCGGTTCGTGGGTTCGAGCCCCGCGTCGGGCTCTGTGCTGACTGCCAGCTCAGAGCCTGGAGCCTGTTTCAGTCTGTCACTCCCTCTCTCTCTCTGACCCTCCCCTGCTCACGCTGTCTCTCTCTCTCCTAGAAATAAATAAAACATTAAAAAAAAAAAAATACTCCATTTGCTTCTGGCTACCATTAGAATTCTGTGGTAATTCAAAGTGTTCTTTGCCTAGGTAATAACACTGTTTTTCTCTGCTTTGAAGGTTGTTTCTTTGTCATTAGTTTTCAGCAGTTTGGTTATACTCTTATATGATTTATTTTATTTTATTGATCTATTTTCAAGTTCACAAATTCCTCTTTCTTGCCTCTCCTTTCTGTTATTGTTCCTATCCAGTGAGTTTTTAAATTTTCAGTATTTGTACTTTCCAGTTACAAAATTCCTACTTGGTTTTTGTGTATCTTCTGTTTCTTTGCTGAGACTTTCTATTTTCACATGTTTCCAGAGAGCGTATTGATTGATCGTTGAGGCATTTTATCATTAGCTGCTTGGGAGTCTTTGTCAGATTATTCTAGAGTCTCACCATCTCATTGGCTTTTGTAGATTGTCTTTTCCTCCGAGAGGTAGAAGTTTTCTGATGCTTCATGGGCCCTGTTATTTTGGATTGGATCCTAGATATTTTGAATATTGTGTTATGAGACTCTGGGTCTTGCTTACATCCTGTGGAGAACATTGATATTCTTGTGTAGACCTCAGTGGGCTTCGGGTTCGGCCCCAATTCCTGATGTTTCAACTTCTGTGCGTGTTGGTTCTGCTGTCCTTTTTGTTTTCCAATCCTTCATAGTGTGGTCTTGACCTTGACATGTGATCTACCCAGTGGCCAGTCGGGGACGTGGGCAGCTGTATCTCTGTTAGTTGAGTTCCAAAAGTCTCTGGGATGCTGCTTAGTAGCAGGTCCATGCATGGCAGCTGCGGGAGAGCCCAGCAGATAACAGATCACTTTCTGGGGCCATTTTCCTGAGCACCTCTCTCTCTCTGGAATCTCCTAGGGACTCATTGTCTGCTTCTCAGGGGTTCTCCCTTTGTCGTTCTCCCAGTGAGAAAGTTGGGGCCCATCCTGCTGCCTGCTTTGACTGTTCCTGCATGCTGTTCCAGTCTGCAGGAAGACCAAGGTCAATGCTATTGGGTGTTACTGCTTCCTGAATCCGCCCACTACTTTTTGCCTTTTAGAGTCTCCACATAGTCACTCAGGTATTCAGTCTGGGTTTTATTGTGAGAGAGGGTGGTGAGTCCCTTTTCCACCTCACCCAGAACTAAAACTCCTAAATGACTTTTAAGGTGAATTACAGAATTCCCCATAATACTAATGACTCTTGTACTCTTGGAATTCAGTTTTGGTAAGTGATTCGCTCATATGCTTAACATAGATGTACTTTTACTAGAAAATCTGGCGTATTTTGCACCAAGGGACTTACGTTGCATGCTTTTTTCCCAGTACAGATGAGGTGTTTACTCTTCTTCAGAACTTTGTCTTGTCCACAACGGAGAGCATTTCCGAATTTATTCTCCGACGGCTTACTATGAATGAACTAAGTACTGTGAGTATTTCCGGGAGTAACTTTTCATTCTTTTCATCAATTTTTGAGTGATTACTTACTGGCAGGCACTGTATTAAATTGAGGAGAAAATTAATATGATAGTTTCCAGGGAAGACCCCTTAGGAAGCAGAAAAAAACATAAGCTTGGGAGTCTCCTCCTTACATTCCATCTGTGTCATAAACGAGGCCTTGGAAAAGTTACATAGCTTTTCTGAGCCTCAGTTTCCTCATCTGCAAAATGGAGATAATACATCTACTTCCCAGGGGCTAGAGAGTTTTGCATGGCATAACGTATCTGAAATATTTAGCATATTCAATATGTCTTTGGTCCTGGTGTTCAGAGATTCTGATTTGGGACGTTTGGGGCAGGACCAGGTAATATAGTACATGGATGTTTCTAAAGCTCCGTAAGTGATTCTGAAACACAGAGTAGATAACAGTCGGTCTGAGGTAAATGTCCTTATCTTCTCTGTCTCTATTCTCCACAGACTTTGTTCCTTCTAGAACAGCTGAGTAAAATAACACCTGAAACGAATACAACACTAAATGTTAACTATACTAGAATTTAAAAAAAGAAAGAAAATAAAGTTTTCCTTTTTCTTCAAGAATATTTTGAAAATACCAATTCATACATAAATGCTTATTCTTAATTTTTTTTTTTTTGGTTGAAATCTCTAGGGACAAATGTCGAAGCTTTAGAATCACTAGATTGTGAATAAAGTGTGAAAGTATGCTTATTTTTAACTTTTATTAGAATACTCAGTTAGGTACATTTGAAAGCCTTGTGAGCAAGTGTGAAAATACAGAAAGGCAAGTTTTAGATGGAAAGACCTGAGCTGTTACGACAGGAAGGCGAGGATATATGGAGAAGTCCGTTGGTGTGGGGGGCGGTTAGCTTTGTTCGTAGTAAGCACTTCTTCATAGTGGCCTTGCTACACCTACTTTCCAAGAAGGCGTTTCATAAAGAAGCAACTCTTTGGATTGGTTTTGTGTCAATATCATTTTGTTACCATCAGTATTACATTATCTTCCTGTTAGGGAGATTTTCAGACATACACGAAAGAAGTATAATGAGCCTCCATGTATCCAGTAGAGAACATAACTGTTTTGGTCTGTTTGGAATTTAAAGCTAAATTTAAAGGGGAAGGATTAGGGGCGCCTGGGTGGCTCAGTCGGTTATGCATCTGACTCTTGGTTCCGCTCAGGTCATGATCTCATGGTTCCATGAGTTCAAGCCCTGAGTTGGGCTCTGCGCTGTCAGCACAGAGCCTGCTTGGGATTCTCTCTCTCTCTCTCTCTCTCTCTCTCTCTCTCTCTCTCATTCTTTCTCTGTCTCTTGCTCTCTCTCTGCCCCTCCCCCACTCGCACTATGTCTCTCTCTCTCAGAATAAATAATCTTTTAAAAGAAAAAGGGGGAAGGATTAATGTGATCTTATTTAATGACCAGCTCTCAGGAAAAAAAGGCCTGATCTTTAGTGTCGTATCAGTTTCCATGGCTACTTCAAGCTGCCTCCACGAGGCCACAGAATCGGAGCGAGGGAGGACCCCCCCCCCCAGCACACTCTCCCACCCCCAACATTGGGGACCAGCAGCAGCCACCACACCTGAACCCATCTCCCGCCTTCTCTGGTTCCTGCAGAGCACAGCGGTGGGCCCTTTCCAATCTACTCAAGGACCTTACTGCTGACCCAGCTCTCCTCTCTTCTCCCCCAACTCCCCCATTTTCAGCCTCTCCTTGTCTCCTGGATTTTTTTCATGAGCATTGAGACAGCTTTAGGAGCCCCACATCTTAAAGACCCTCTCAATCCCACGGCCCCTCCGGCCTTCTTCTCTTTGTCAGCTTGTCTGTAAACCTGCCCTGCAGCTCCATTTCTCTGGTTTCTGCCTCTGTCGTGACACAGGAACAGCCGTCTGTAAAGTTGTCATAAACCAAACGGGAGCTTTTCATATCATAGTTTTGTTGAGTCCTCAGCCCCACCGGACACATCAGCCACTCCCCTGTGGGAACACCAGCTGTCCTTAGCGTCGGTGACCCCTTCCCGTCCTGGTGTGGCCGCATCTCTGCCATCGCCCCCACTTCTGTTGGAGCGTCCGCTCTCTGCTAGATAGACTTGAACGTTGGCGCTTCTATAAGGGAGGCCCAGGCCCTTTTCTCACGCTCTGTTTGAGGGAGGTGCTCTTAGCTGTGCCCCCGGCTTCAGCCAAGCCAGAGACCCTACAGCTCCGTCTCCACTGTGAGCTGCTCTTCCCAGCCTTCCTCCCTGTCAGCCTCGTGCTCTTTAACGGCTCGAGTTGCATCTCTCGCACTTGAGCCACTCAGAGCCGAGCCCCTCACAGTTCCCTTCCCGGTGAATGTACCACCATCTAGCCAGTTTCTCCAGCCTCACACTCAGGGAACCCTCCCCAGCACCCTGCCCTCAGTCTCCCCGCCAGTGTCCAGCCCCCACCGGGTCCTGCAGCCGTTACTTGCTGTCTGCCCGGCGTCCTGGCGCTTGGCGGGGTGCCTCACGTGCGGTTGCTCAGTAACCACTGATTAAATGGATGAATTCTGTGCTTCCTGGTGTCCTGGAAGACCTCCGAGGATATTGTTAGTACTTAGCATGCTAATAATAATCGGGGCCCCCATCCAGAGCTAGTCCACTTGCCTGCTTTCTCTCCACTCTTCCAAAACCCCTGTGACAGATGGACCTTACCCTCCACATCTGTCGGATGAGGAATCCACAGAGGTTAGGTCACAAAGCCGGTGGGTGGTGGAGCTGGACTGAACCATGTCTGCAAGTCCCAAAGGCCTGCGTTCAGCTCCGCCTCTGCTATACACCAGTCCCGAGATGCCGGGTGAGCTGTGTGTCCTCTCTGAGACTCAGTCACCGACTTAGGAAAGGGGGACTGCGGCCTTCCTAGTAAGAACGGAGCGTTGTAATCTGCCCGAAACAAAGGCCGCTTCGTTGTTCTAACTGCTAGTATTTATGCTGGCCCTGGGATTCATGAGTTGGTGGGACACAGTCACTGCCTTCCAGGGTTTCACGACCAGGGTGCAAGCCAGAGGTGTACACAGTGACATGTGCTCCGGTCAAGTCAAGTGTAGTTGCCGTGTCAGTGCGGGGAAGTCAGTCCTCAGCTCTGCGTGGGGAGACTATGGAGGGCTTCTTGGAGGAGGTGACTTTATCTGTCATTAATACTTTGTGTTACTGCATTTGAATAAGGTCACTGATTTCCTGTCTGAAGTCTCATAGTTGTGTGAAAATAACGGGCCCTGCGTGTTAATGTGGTTTATTGTTTGTCTTAGGTTTCAGACCTGGATCGTTGCCATTTATACCTGATGGTATTAACTGAGCTTATAAATCTCCATTTGAGAGTTGGGTGGAAAAGAGGCAACCCCATTTGGAGAATCATGTCTCCTTTGAAAAATGCATCCATTCGGCACCTTCAGGAGATGGACCGTGGACAGGTAATCTTCGATTCAAAATGTCTAGTTCGATTGAATGAGGCATGTGTAGAATACATATTTGATTATCGCACAATATTCTGACATGAAAACCACTGGCTGAAATTTAATTTTAAAATAGTATCCTTTGTTCATAATATGTGATGAAGATGGAGACTCCTGCCCTAATCTTAGGTATATAACAAAGGCGTGGTGACTTCAGTCTTAAAACCATTTAGATACAGATTGTGGATTTGCACTGAATCTTTGCCCACATACCAATAAAGGACACTTTAATGTGTCTAAATATATGTAATGTAACATGTGACATATAACATACATAATAGCTGATATGTGGCATATAACATATAATGTGTACTTACACATGCAGCAGCCCCCATCCTTGGCTCTTTGTTTTCTGCCCCGGTCTTACACTGCCTCCCTCTTACCTCCCCCAACCAGTGCCATTTTGCTGCAGTCACGCTAGGCCATTTCATAGAGCTTCATGGATGACAAGCACACGCCGCATCCTTCCCCATCTAGGCTTTCCTTCTGTCTGCTCCTTCCACTGACAGTGCCTTCCCCTCCAGTGTGTGCTTGTCAGTAATCCACGCAATCCTTTAGGGCCCAACTTGGGTCAGTGTCTCATTCATTTGTCTGTTGTTCTTTATGCCTCCATTGTAGTGTTTATCTCTGTCTTATTTTTGGAATAACTTATGCGTATGTGTCTTTTCCTCTAGGTTTTAGTACCTAGAAGCTTTTCTTAAACATGGCATAAAAGGCATAGTGGTTATGAGCACAGGAGTTAAGACTTCCTGGATGTGGATCCTGCTTTTAACCTTGTGTGACCTGGAGGAAGTTACCTAACCTCTCTGTGCCTCATTTACCACCCCCACAAAATGAGGGTTACAGGGTTGATAATGAGAAGTACAGTGAGCTCATACACATTAACACTTCAGAACAGTGCCTGGCACGCAGAAAGCCCAGGCTGTTAAATAAAACAGAATGTACATGCTTGCTGTAATAATCTAGTTATTAAAGATCGTTTTTAAGAACTGTCCCACAAGAAAATGATAAGGAGGCCTGGTCACTACGTCAGCATCCTGTCTAGTATGTATTAACATATCAGCGCTGTGAAAGGACTTCATGAGCCTAGAACATACACCGAAATCCTGAACCATATCGCAGCGGTTCTTAAAGACGGCTTGTTTTAGTAACTCAATTATGTTAAGGGTAATAAGGCCATATTGGCTAAAAGTAACACTGAACTTTACCTCTTGCGTGGACAGTGTTGCTGTGTAACATTTATCCATAGAGACACTGGATTTATTTTACGGGGGGTTGGGAAGGGAAGGCATGGCATGAGGGGTCCTCCCGCGGTGGCGGTACTTGGGAGCACCCTTTCAGACTCGGTGCAGCTGCTTCAGTGCGTTAGGTTCTGGCCTGCGCTCCTGGCCTCTGTGGTAGAGGCTATGGATTTCCTAAGTGTGACGCCGGGCTGTCCTGGTTTCCTTCCTTTGTGCTCCTGCTTCCTGTGTAGTTTCAAGTGCTTCCCATGAAATCCTCTATTTAACCTTCACCGTAACGCTGTGGGGTGCACTCTGTTATCATCCCCATGTTACAGGTGAGAAAACTAAGGTGCAGCATGTCCACGGCCAAACCGGCACTGAGTTCAGAGCCGGGATTCAGACCTCGTCCCCGTGGTTCATGAGTAGCTCTTAACTGCCGTGCTGTGTCCCCCGTCCCGAGGCAGCTTACAGCGGAGCGCAGGAATTACTTACGTGTGTGCCTGGGGCCGTGTTTCCTGCACACGCTCCAGCCAGACAGTTAAAGTAGAACTCACTAGAGACACATCCAGACGCTTCTGTGAGTAGGGCAAAGACCGAGAAGTCCTGCTCCACGTACACTCGCGGGCTCTGTGTGCGGCTCCTCTGCCATGGGCCTGCTTTCAGGAACCCACCCCCAAACCGAAGAGATCAAGCCGTCTCCTTAGTCGGAACTGCTGAATTTTTATTGCCACCTTACATTTGCTCGCCGCCCATCTGTAAGGAAGCGGCGAAGCTGACTGATGCATGGTGGCGGGTCTCCTCGTTGCCTCAGCGACGTGCAGGAGCCGGGAGGGGGACCGGGGGGTGCCAGGCGTCCTCAGGCGGGGCTCCCAGCCAGACCGGGGGAGACTGGCTTCCGTGAAGTAAGACTGCTCCGTTTCCCCCTCAGGAGCCCACGCTGGGCACGCAGGTTCAGAGAGCCGTGAGTATGGCTGCCCTGGCCCTGGTGTGTGAGGCCAGCGATCGGACTCCGGAACTGCAGCCCAACCCTCTGGAGGAGGCCGGGCCTATGGAGAGCTTCGTCTTCGCTCTCCCGCTCAACCACACGCTGCGGAAGCCCCACACAGAGGTGGAGAGCAGGTGCGTTCACCCTGGGGGACAGCTGCTATGGGAAAGACATCTTTCTGCTCATCTTTGTGAGTTCATTTTTGTTGCTAGTCATTGAGATAATGAGGGATCTCCTGGCCTTACTGACAGGGGCTGGAAGTTTGGACATGAGGCCGCGGTCAGGACGGGCCCCTGTTATCCCACGATGCGTCTCTATTCCTGGAAACCCACAGACTTGACTGCATGTTTTCAGTGAATCCCCTTAAGGTGAATGAAAATTCCTGCCTTCAGAGTAGTTAGAAAACTGAGGTTTATGTGGTTCCCTTGCTTTTCAAAGGTAGACAGGCTGCTTGATCCATGACTGTTGAATTTCTCTCCTCGCGAGGATAGTGCCCTGCATGCAGAAGCAGCCAACCCGGACTGGCCGAGGCCTGGGGTAGTGACGCGATCTTTCATTTCAGTCTTCGTGAAGAATCCTCATCTTCCCAAGGTTGGGGGAAAATCGTTGCACGATATATCCATGATCAGTGGGTCTGCCTGTCTTTCTTGCTGAAAAAGTATCACACCCTGATACCAACCGCAGAGGGCGAAATTCCGGAACCCATCCTGCCTGCGGTCCACATGCCAGCGCGGACCCTGCAGTCCGCTCTCGAAGCCCTGACGGTCCTGCCTTCGGACCAGGTCTTGCCCGTGTTCCGCTGCATGAACATTCTGGTTCCCAAGGTGAGAGGGGCTGAGACCGCGAATGAAGAACGGCTACAGGAACAGAGAGCGGTTTCTGAAACTAAGTGATAATTCCGTATTTCTTTTTTTTCCTATCAGCTTTTGACCTCCTCTGAATCCCTCTGCGTAGAGTCTTTTGACATGGCTTGGAAAGTTATATCTGCGTTAAGCAACACTCAGCTGATATTCTGGTCTAATTTAAAAGCTTTTGTTCAATTTGTTTTTAATACCAAAGTTCTTACCATTGCTGCAAAAATCAAGGGCCAGGCGTACTTCAAAATAAAAGAGGTAACTTTTTTTACACTGGGGTAAAAATACATAATGTAAAATGTACCATTTAAAAAATTTTTAACATTTCTATTTTTGAGAGAGACAGAGCACAAGTAGGGGAGGGGCAGAGAGAGAAAGACATGAATCTGAAGCAGGCTCCAGACTCTGAGCTGTCAGCCCGATGCGGGGCTCAAACCCACAAACAGTGAGATTGTGGCCTAAGTCAGACACTTAACCAAGTGGCCAACCCAGGCGCCCCTAAAATGTACCATCTTAATCATTTTTTAAGTTCAGTAAAGTATGTTTAGGCTGTTGTAACAGGTCTCCAGAACTTGTTGAACTTGAACTGAAACTCTGTACCCATTAAACAGCTGCCCTTCTCTCCCTCCCCGGCCCCTGGTAACCACCATTCTACTTTCTGTTTCTATGAATTTGACTATTTTAGATTGAAAGGAAGTAACTTTTTCTTTGCTTCTTAATTTGTGTGCCCTGCAGCACAGGAGGAAAGAAAGAGTTGTTATTAGTAATCACATACTAGATTTGCTCTTAGGTATCCATTCCGGCAGTGTGTATTTTGAACCCTCCTGTCACAAGTAAGACCAAGCTCTGTTAGATGTAAGAGTATGAGCAGAAGGGTAGCCTGTGAACCACACGTGCCATAGAAACTCACTTTGATTCCTATAGTGCTTAAAATATTTTTAATAAATTGCCAACTTTTAAGAATTAGGAAATTTACATGCAAATCTGTATTTCCCTTCTCTTGGAATGCTGGAAAATCGGATGACGTGGCCACACTGGCCATTCCTAGGAGCCGCCCGTCCACATAGGGCACGCCCCTTGCGTTTCTTCCCCCCACAACCAGTCCTTGACCATCCTGGGGACCAGAGGCAGACGGCAGGGGCCAATCTGTTACCACATTCATGCTGTTGCTTTTCTTGTACAGAGAAGTGTTTCTCTGAACATACCGTATCAAAAGGGCTCTTTATGGGGCGCCTGGGTGGCTTAGTCGGTTAAGTGTCCGACTTTCGCTTAGGTCATGATCTCGCAATTCGTGGGTTCGAGCCCCGCGTCGGGCTCTGTGCTGACTGCCAGCTCAGAGCCTGGAGCCTACTTCAGAGTCTGTATCTCCCTCTCTCTCTGACCCTCCCCTGCTCACACTGTCTCTCTCTCTCTCTCTCCCCCCTAGAAATAAATAAAAAATTAATTAATTAATTAATTAAAAAGGGGGGGCTCTTTGGTTCCTGAAGGCACTTGCGCTTGCCACCACTGGTACGCACCAGCGGACGTAAGGTGGTGGAAGGATGGCGTGTTTGGGAACTCGTGTAGACCTCGTGTCTGCCTCTCTGTCCATGCCTGCCCCACAGCACACACCTGGGGACCGGGCTTCTGCTGCCCCAGAGAAGGGGCTGTGGCAGAATGCAAAGGAAACTGAAAATGTAAAGGGTGAGACATTTTTCTCTCTTTCATTCCATTACTTTGGGCAGTTTTTTTTTTTACCCTTGGAGAATCCTGGGAGAATGTCACTATCAGTGAAATTGTATTTACTCTTATTATTAAGAAATGAAAAATTAGCATTCTGGGATTATTGATCATCTTGAAAGACTAACGATAAAGAATTCTTAGGTTTTTATACTCTGTGGTTATGTTGAAACTGTCAGTGGAAGCCTTCAAACAAGTTTTTTTAGCAACAGTTTTTTTAAACAAAATGGGCCAAAGAATAAAATGACTATTGTATTTCATTCCAGATTATGTACAAGATAATTGAAATGTCTGCTATAAAAACTGGAGTCTTCAATACACTGATAAGTTATTGCTGCAAATCTTGGGTATTTTCTGCTTCAGATGTGTACCAAGTGTCTTTATCAAGTGCTAAAAATTACAGCGAACTTGTCTTCGAGGCATGTATATTTGGAACCGTGTTTAGGCGTGATCAAAGGTAAAAGATAACGTTATTTCAACCTGTCTTGATTTCTGTTAAGTACCTACTTGAGAAAATTATGCCTTTATTTTGAGGCTTTCAATTAGAAGAATATAAAGCATTAATTAAATTTAATTTAATTAATTAAATTAAATAAAATTAATTAAAAGCATTAATTAACTTTGAACTTTGAATTTCAATATTTTCCTCTCTAAAACCTGTTCTTTGTCAACTATTTCTTATGGGAAGACTTATTCAGGATGTGCAGACCTACGTAGAAAATTTAATTTAATTAATTAAATTAAATAAAATTAATTAAAAGCATTAATTAACTTTGAACTTTGAATTTCAATATTTTCCTCTCTAAAACCTGTTCTTTGTCAACTATTTCTTATGGGAAGACTTATTCAGGATGTGCAGACCTACGTAGAAAATCTCGGCCACGATTGTGCAGCCAACATTGTTATTGAAAAGTAAGTATGGTGGCTTTTCCGTTGTCTTGATGTAAATAGAATATTCCAAATTTAACATCAGCTGAGAGACCTCTTGTGTTTGTTAAATAAATGTTTCCTAGTGATATCTATAAGATACTGAAAGAGCCTTCAAAAGGAAGTTAGAAATCACATTCCCTTGCTAATATATTTTCTTTAGATGTAAAACTTTTTACTAAAATTTGATAACTTCAAAAAATGTTTTAAAGATGAAGAAAAAGGGAGAAGAAATTGTAACATGGCACTGAAAGACATTTTACAATGTTATCACATTCTTTTTTTTTTTTTTTTTAATGTTTATTTTTGAGAGAGACAGAGACAGCATGAGCGGGGGTGGGGCAGAGAGAGAGAGACAGGATCTGAAGCAGGCTCCAGGCTCTGAGCTGTCAGCAGAGAGCCTGACACGGGGCTCAAACTCACGAATCATGAGATCATGACCTGAGCCAAAGTTGGATGCTTAACCAACTGAGCCACCCAGGCACCCTGATGTTATCAAATTCTTGATGGAATAAGAATTTTCTTGGGGAAAAACAAATTTTAGTGCAGAGTCCAGTATAAATAAGAAAATGACTAGGGGATCATAAAACCCCTATCCCTGTGCAGGGTGGCGGGTTGGGGGGCCGTGGTGATCAGCATATACATAGTTCTCTCTCAGTGTCGGTCACAATTCACCATTTAACAAGTCAACATTCTACACATAAAAAATAAAATTACCTCTGTAATAGGCCCTTAAGTATTGATTTTTGGGATGAGACTCTTCTTATCTAACCTCTGAATTAATTTTTTTGGAGCTTGTCAAGTAGCTTTCTTAAAATTTTATTTTTTCACATAATTTTCAAAAATACGTATGTTTAGATGTTCATAAAAAATGCACAAACAATAATTACATATAGGTATCACAGAGTGTTAGTTATTCCGAAAGTTAGAACTGTTTTTTAAATCATTTGCCACGCTTCTCTTTAATACGTTTTTCATTGTTAACTGTTTGAGTTTTTGTTTTCTCGGCTGGTTTAAAGTAGCAATAAAAGTGAAATTTTTTATCCGATGATTCCAAAATACTTTGATCTCTACTAGACAAATGTTTTGTTAAAGTGACACTTCTTGACATTATAACAGCTCTAATGAAGTTTGGAAATACGTATTAACAGTGTCACATAACCGACCTTCCCGCATGTGGGGACTGAACGGATGGGGTGCTCAGAGCACGCACTGCTCAAGTGTTTGCCCAGCGCCTGGAGCTCATGCGTGTACCGTGCACGGCGAAGACGAGCCGTCAGCTGTTTGATGTGTATTCATGCCCCCGAGCAAACAGGTGTCCATGATGCTCTGGAAGGAACTGTTCCTGAGCTGTGATCTGTTCTGCCCACAGAGACCTTCCTGACACAGGATGGGTCGCGTGTGCACTGTTTTACTGGAGGCCTGGGTATATCTGTGCTCCTCCAGACTTTCTGTACAGGTTCTCTGTCTCATATATCCGTTTGCCATCTTGCGTTTATCCTGAATACAAAAAGCATTGTCATTAAGTACGGAGCTCCTCGATTTAGAAGGTTCTGATGTTTTGAAATAAGTACGTGACATATTTTTCTGCTTTGAAAATGTATTAACAGAGTTTGTCATTTTACGTTTTTTTAGTACTAAAAGAGAAGACCATTATGTGAGAATTTGTGCTGTCAAATTCCTGTGTTTATTAGATGGCTCAAATATGTCTCATAAGTTGTTTATGGAGGATCTTGCAATCAAGCTATTAGATAAAGTAAATATGCCTTATTTTACTTTAAATCTTTGCTTTTGATGGATAACTATGTGACACAGTATGTATTCTAAATATTTTTTTATCAAGAAAAAAACGTATTTTTAGTTAAATATTAGTGATTGTCCAATTGTTTGGTTTTAGAGAAGAGTATTTTCCCTGTAGTATCTAAACTTTGCTCAGAGCACTCAAAGCAGAGTGGGCTGGGTAGCTGTAGTCCGGAGGGGTGCCTAGTCCTTTGAGCCGGGGGAGGGGGTAGGGGAACAGCACTGAGTCTGTGTGAAAGGAGGGAACGCCTGAGACACCTGTGTCCTGAGCCAGGAGGCAGGGTCCTTTCTAGAGGGAAGACACAGACACAGTTGGCATTTGAAAACCGAGGTGAAGGCTGCTGAGGCCTGTGTGGGCAGCTTTCTGCTTACTTTTTACTGGAAACGTGCAAATGTCTTGTAAAAGTAGCTTTAAAAGTGACCAGTTCCTGGCCCTGTCATCAGCGATGGACAGTCTTGTTGGCCCGACACTCCCCCCAATGCATTTCATTTTGAAGCCAACCCCAGACATCAGTTTCAGTGGTAAATATTTCAGTATGTATGGATCTCAGAAAGATGAGAGTTCTTTTTTTTTAGCCACACCCACAATACCATTTTCACCCCTGAATTCATAATTCCCTAGTATTATCAAATCTCCAGTCAGTGTTTAAATCTACCTGACTGCTTTACGTTTTTGTCAGTTTCTTTGCCGAAAATGTGACCCAAACAAGGTCCATCCCGTCGGTTGGTTGAGGTGTCTCTAATGTGCCTTAATCTACAGATTCCCCTCCTCATCCTTGTTAAACTTGAATGTACTTTCTGGAGAAAGAGGATTGTTTTCATTGTAGAGCCTTCCACAGACTGGATCTTGTTGTTTACGTGGTACTGTTTTTGATTTTTCTCTGACCCCTTCATATAAGATGATATTGAGATTTAGAGTCTTGATCAGGTTTAGGTTTGATTTTCCTTTTGGGGGTAGAGGTGGGGCAAGAGTATATGTCCATCAGGAAGCCTAGAGTATTTGGCTCTCTCCCCTTTAGGGATGTGAGTCATTGATGAATTGTCTCATTCCATTAATTCTCTCAAAATGGTGATACCCTAATTATTTTATTCCTTTTTCATTTACCGACTGAAGTTCCTCTGTATCCAGATATGAAGTATTTAGACCTCCTGAGCTATGTTTCCCATAGGAGAGGCAGGATAAGTGCTTGGTTTTTTTCCTCTTACTCCTCAGTTTTCAAAATAATGAATTAGCTTCCTAGTATCCACTAGTTTCTTCTAAAGGTGACCAGTGAGGTTTTTCATTTTTTTAACTAAAACATATTGATGTTTCAGTCCATTGTAGTTGTTATTGTTCAAATTGTCCCAATTTTGGTCAGGTGAAGGAGAAAATCTGAGAACATAATTTAGTGTGGGGGGTGTTACATTTGAGTTGCTTTTGGGCCTCCATGTGAAGTTACCCAGTAATAGACAGTTAGGAATATATTTAGGAAAGGAATAGAAGCCACCATACCTGGTGATGGCTGAGACTTTGAATGAGGACAAGACTCTATAGGAAGAGGCTGAAAATGGGAATTTAGAAAACACCGGCATTGGAAGTATATTGGTAGGAAAAAGAACCAAAGATCATTAAAAAGAGGACTGAGGAGAGAGACTAGAAGCAGAATTAGATGGTGTTGGCCTGGTGTTGCTAGTGTTCTTAACTTACGGAAAACTCTTGTCTGTAGGGGGTGCCTGGGTGGCTCAGTCCATTAAACATCTGACTTCAGCTCAGGTCATGATCTCATGGTTCGTGAGTTCGAGCCCTTCATCGGGCTCAGCCCGCTGTTGTTAGCAGCACAGAGCCCATCCAGATCCTCTGTCCCCCTCTCTCACTGCCCCTCCTCTTCACACTTTATCTCTCTCTCTCTCTCTGAAAAATAAACATTAAACATCTCTCTTAAAAAAAAAAAAAGAAAAGAAAAGAAAAATCTTGTCTGTAGAAAATTTGGCATAGACTTCTATGAATTTGCCCATGATTATAACCTTTAGCCTCAGAGCAGCAATTCAAACTCAGAGCCTCTTCTTTTCCACCACAGGGTGTGTCTGGGGGCTGTTACCGGTGGTGTGCACTGTAGCTGAGAGCAGGCCGGGCGCCGAGGAGAGAAGCTGGGGGGCATTTCTGAGATTTCAGAAGCCCGTTGGGTAGGGCCAGTTTGAAGTAGAGTGAAGGGGCAGCGACACGCACATAAAGGCAAGAATTGTACTTTTTAAAAACTGATTTGATGAACCTCTAAAGGGAATAAGGACCTTTCTTCCTCCGATACGAGAAGATAAAGGTTGAAGACAGAAAGGTGAATGGGGAAGGTTGAAGGAAGATTGTTGAAGTGTGAAAGATCATATGGCCAGAGTAGAAACCTGGACTGAGCTAAAGGCTTTGGGAAACTAGGAAAGATTTTTCATTGTGTTTGTGGAAATGGGGATGGGAAGAGACTTGAGAAAGGTGAGATGATTGTTTAGCATAGTAATTCTTTCTTTCTTAATTTGAGTGTAGTTGACACACAATGCTAGATTCGCGTCAGGTGTACAACTTAGTGACTGGACAGGCTTGTACCTTATGCTGTCACTGCAAGTGTAGCTGTGACCTGCCCTTTTGTATCGCTGTTACCACGTCCCTGACTGTTCCTCGTGCTCTGCTGCTTATTCCCGCGACTTACTCATGGCATTACTGGAAGCCTGTGTCTCCCTCTCCCCTTCACCCATTTCACCGAGCCCGCTGGCCCCCCTTCCCTCTGGCAGCGACCAGTTTGTCCTCTGTATTTGTAGTTCTCATTCTGTTTCTTGTTTGCTCGGTTTGGTTTGGGTTTGGTTTTTTTTAGATTCCATTTATGAGTGGAATCAAACTCTTATACTGTATTCTCTGGAATGGCAGCTTCAACACCACCAGGGAGCATGTTAGAAATGCAGACTCCAGGGCCGCGTCCCCCTTCTGCTGAATCAAAAGCTCTGGGGGTGGGGCCAGCAGTCTGTTTGAAGGAGCCCTCAA